TTAAGCAAGATCTAAAGCTAATTCAGGTCTTGATTGCAATATTGGTATAATTATTTATTGATACAAAGTAATACGGAGAAAAAATTATAATAAAGATTTATAAGATTATTTTATGAATTCTACATTGAAAAGTTGATTTTTCTATATATATTCTACATAAGTATAAAGAACCAAAGTTACATTTATTTATATGAGAATGAATGAAAAAATACATGCGATCTTCATTTGTATTTCATTGAATGGACTCATGACTTTATATGCATAAAAAAATAAATTAAATGATGACTAAAATAAAAAGTTGAAAAAAAACAATAGAGTAACATGTAAAGTTAACAAGCTATAAAAAAAAATAAGATTTTTTACATTGAAAAGTGAGAAAGTGAATAGATTACGAACTGGAGAGATGAAATTTGAAATTTTGATTAAAATTCATATTCAATATAAATTTATTATAATCAATATAATAGAATCAAATAGTATACAGCTGTAAAGTTTGAATATCAAACCAATCTTTTGCTTTGAATGAAAAATCATGTAAAATGAAAAGATACACATGGAGTAAAACAATGAATGTTTTATACTATTGAACCATAAGTATATATATACATTTATGTTACTTTCATGCTTGTGACTTCTTTGTTTGAATGTTCATGAAATTTTATGTATAAGAATCTTACATGGATGAATATTGTGAAAAAAATTTGCTTAAATCTCATGGAATGAAATTCAATAGATATTTTTGCAAAATATTTAAAATAATAATAAATTTAATCAACATTAAGAATTTTTTTCTCAAATCACAAGAGTGAGATTGTAAGATTTGAAATAAATTATGCATATTGATTAATATATTGAAAAATTTTCATCTTCAGATATTCATCATGGATTTGAGTAAAGCAAATGTTTTCATTGTGTTCAAATGAATTTTGAAAAAAAAATATACATACAGAAATGATTATTAGCATCTCATCCATGATAAATGAAGTAATCACAATTGCTAAATGAATTAGAAGTGTTTATGAATTCACACACGGTGAATTATTGATTAATGTTTGAGATTAATTTACATCAACGTCCAACGAATTTTAACTTATAAAATATTGTGCATCACCACTAATATCATCATCAAAACATAAAGAAAATTTTCGTTGATAGTTAATTTTAAATTTGTAAGAAAACCCTTTAAATAATAATCAAATAGTAACAAAATTTTGGGATACTCTTCAAAATCATGCATGCAAGAATATGAGACATAATATCAAATACTATCATGATAACAAGAAGTATGTTAAATGCAACAACAATCTGTTTACAACATGAAGAGCAAAATATATCAAAAATTTTACAAAATAATTTTCTAAAAAAAAATCATCTACGATCAAAAGTTGCAAGACATATCTAGCTAATTTTTATACATATCATGATGAAAATATATGAGATGATAATTTTCAATTATCTTGAAGCAATTGAAAATTTTTGGTCACATAATATTGCAATAAAATTTGAAGTATTATAGATGAAAAACATGAGTGAATTGTCAAACTATCAAGTTAAAACCGAATTACATGATCACCAAGTGTAGAGTTATATAAGTGGATACAATAAAAAAAAATTTGAAAAATGAGTAATTCTTTTGCTTGATATGTTACCATTCTGATACTAAATACAATTTAAAGTTAGGATTTGAAGAGAAAGTAATGGAAATAGTATTGTATCTTAGAAGAAGAATTTAACTTTATTTGTGATTAATATGGAAATTCTTCAAAAAAAACTTATATTTCTTGAACATTATAAGTTAGATTCAAAAACAAACTTTACATTCCATATTCCTAAAATTATATTTTTATAAAGTATGGAGAATTTTTTTAGATAATCTATTTGCAAGGTTATCACCGAAAAGACATGTGGATCACAACATTGAGTTCATTTTAGAATCATGCAAAACTGAAGTGAAAGAATAACAAAGATAAGCTTTCTTTAACACAAATTTTTTTTGCATAAACTTATTTTAAATTTTCATTTAGCTTCAATGATATATATTTTTTATATTTTGATCAAATTTGATAAAAAAAAATCATTGTGTAAATCAAAATGTTTAATTTTTTCAAAACTTATAATTACTTAACATGTTTGTGCGGGTGCATTATAATCATTAGATTTACATCATCTCAATTGGACCAAAATTTTAATATTATGTGAATAAATCAAACTCTTATAAAATATGACATACGTCTAATATTCTTGCAGTGTAGTTCGTAGCCGTATTCCAATTCATGAATTTTTTGTAAGTATGACAAAGACATCAAAGAGAAAATGAAAGAAACAAAAGTTATGCTCATTCATAGATCACATGCCAATCAACCAAGCAAAAAGATTGATAAGAGAGTATAAGAGCATGATCATAGAAACATTACCTCAAAAGCAATCTTAATAGAACTAGGTTGAAATTTTCTTTACTATTTTTTCCAGAACGATTGATATTCTTAAAAAATATATTATTCAACATGTTTTGAGTTAAAAGGGAATAAGCAGATTTCATCATCCATTTCATGCAACTTCTTTATTTGTATTTTTCAATGTGGATGAGTCTACCTTCAAAAGAAAAAGCAGAGCAGTGATTTCTCATACATGATAAATCACACACTTCTCTAGGTAGCAGCATGAAGACAGAAAGGTTATAGTTAGAACCCTAGTGGAACAATATTTACACATTGTATTTCAATGTGTATCTCCTTTCCATGCAAAACCTCAATGCTATATAAATACATGTATATATACATATATAATTTATAATATTCATTTCACATAAGTACATACATTCAAAATCTGAACACACTCATATTTTTTTAACAGATTTTCACAGATATTCCAAAAGGTTCAACAAAATCGAAATAGAAAGAAAAGAGCTAAAACATAACAAATTATCCAATCCATTTGTCGAAATTACTCAAAATGTTAAAAGGTAAATTATTCTGAACTATGTTTAACCCTCGTAGCTTCCAATTCTCGTTTTATGGAGATTATTTCGGAGAAGAACTTGTATAATCAATCTCAACTTTTGGTAAGCTATAATCACAGAATTTATGCAACTCCTCACCTCTTCCTAATCCACAATCAGCTCTTATCTTGCCTCTTCGAAGAAATGATACACTTTGTAGGTCTTATATTTTAAATTTGAAAAGCTTCGATAAGGGTAGTGAAGAATCTTGTGAATTCTGCTGATTATTTAGCCGAGACTTTTCTGACTAAGTGTGAATTATTGCACTATCAGTTAAGAATCTACGTCGATCAAGGAAGATGCAGCAGTATACGAAAGGAAAAAGTATATAGAAGTTCACAAAGAGAAAACTGGATCTTCATATGGAGGTATTTCTTGGAAAACTTCAGACATCGAAAAGATATTTATCTGTTTATTAAATGAAAAGATACCTTATAGCATTCATCTTCTGCGCTTAGAATTGTTAAAGTGAATGACATGATTATGGAGCAGTACAGATTTTTTTAAATGTCCAAATGTCATCCATATGGACATTTGGATGACATTTGGCTGAATGAAGGCTGCTAAGACGTTGTGCACACCTAATTTTCTATTTGCTCAATACGCAATGTTTAAACATAAAAATTATATTTGATACAATTTTTATGTTTCAACAAATTGTGACATCTAAATTAGAATGCATCAGCGCGATGCACTTGACTTTGTCTCTATGTCCGATACTTGACCTTATCAATCAAATTTTCAGACGCTACCTTTTCTTACACAGATATTTCATCATAATTTAAAAAAAGTGACTTTTCATCTAGCAAGATTCAATTTTGTTCGTAATGTTTATAAGTGATAAGCATTTGTGTTGTCTTTATAAAACACTTGACAGCTGCATCACCCAGTTCCTTCATTCCCCATAATATGGTCCAAAGAGCAAAATGATCCTGATCAAGGTTTAAAAATATCAAAATAAAGTAAGGTTTAAAATATATTTTTATAAACTCTTGTGTACACTATATCATAATGTTAAAAGACACGAAGACATTGGTCTATATATACTAAAATGTATTGCTTCGTTAATTCATTTTACCAAGCACATAATTTTGCTCGTTGAACTACTCTTCCTGCAAGAGTAAGAATCATTCTTTTTCAATCCCCAATTATATTGGCTATGAAAAATTCGAAAAGCTTTCCTTGCATCTGCATATTTACGCGTTTAAACCAGCAGGAAGCGCCAACGGTGGATAATGATGTCCTGATTTAATTTCAAGGATATGTATTAACCCTTGAAATCCCTGTTTTTTCATTTTGAAAAAGAAAACAGCTTGCAAGGAATTGAGATTGCCTGCACATATACTTATGTAGACGTGAATTACATGTTCTTTCAATCTTGGTGAATATATCTCACATAAAATTATACATCTCCTTAGATTGTCAGGTTATCAAACGGGCTACTGACTAGACTATTCTCAGTGTATTCGTCTGGTAACCATTGTCTACCACATCAGATGATTGGTTATAAATCCAAGAACTTCCTCACATCATCTTAGAATCCGAACTATCCATCGCTTTGTTCACTGCAAAATATGGTGTCAACCATACCTGAACAAATGGCAATCGATTGTTTTACCTGTAAAAGTTTATACGTTTGGGCTGTAAACCACATAATTGATTAGTACGCGTCTCAAAGGAACCATGTGTATCGCAGGATGCAACCAGAAAACTGCTAGCCCTTTGACCTTCAATACCTACCGGTACCCTCCTTTACTTTCGTACACATGTACTCAGTATTCTAAAGTCACTTAAAAGGAAATGGTTGCTCGGTGCTGTGTTACATAGTCCTTCACGTTAAGAACCAGACTTTCTGACAGACTAACATCGGTTCGTAACCATCACCGTCAGTGTATCATTAGTTGGTTCTTACACAAATGTGTTTTCATTTTTCCTTAGGACGCGCCACAAATGATTTCTTTTCCACAATTCCACTCAATCGGATTGTATAGGATTCCCATGTTTGAGTCTGAACGAAGATCCACATTCATTACGCTTGTTGCATGCTGAGATCGTGATGACAAGCTCCGACGGAGGGATGTATGCATCTCCACCCTAAGGCTGTCACAACATAATCAAGTTCTAACAATGACCCCAGCAAAATGTAAGATAACACATCTATAATCCACAAGTTCACGAGTACCTTCTGAAATCTAGGGCTCTGTTTCTCCACGACATATTATCTATGTAGTGACACGTTCTTTCAGAGCTCAGATACTTCACGTAGTTCGAGCCAGAATGAACGAAAGTCATACTTTTATCCACCCTACCAACAGCACACATATTCCATCTAATAATTTAAAACAAGATAAACCTCTGCAAACACTCATCATTGGCAGTTGAACACACTCAAAACTAAAAGCTCGTTTGAAATGTCACAAAGTGTCTGAGAAAGAGCGAGCTAGTGGACATCTCACAAGTTACCTACACACTGCTCTCCACCATCACTGGTCGGAATGTCGGTTTTGATATATGTATCTCCAGGTAGTGTGCAATAAATACTCATCATCCTTCATAGAGACTGTCACCAAGTGACATTCTCTTGAATGTTAGATAGATGATGAGTTGTTTCACAAAGCATTCAAATGCCGAAACGTCTTTTGTCCATGAGCTTGGGTGTTGAGCACAATGCTGGTGCACCAGTAAAGTGAATGTACTTTGAGAATCAAAATTGAACTCATTGCATCCAGAACCTGGATTTTCATTCACACTCCGTTGTGATAACACAAATGTGTTGGCTTCTCTCGGACGAATCATTTTCTCTCATACTTGTCCTTGATACTACATGCTCGCAGCTGCTTTCAGGACAAAGACTCACATTTCCATGAGCTTCATACTAACCTGTCATTTAGAAGAGAGACTTGCGTGGGAAAGCTTTGCAGTCGATGGAGAGGGGACTGCAATGAATCGTGAGTATGCTAACGTCTAACTTTACAAGACCAATATTGAGGCCACCTGCAACCTCTGGCAAAAGATTGGCACCCAACTGCCTCTTGGCCTTGAGTCCATTCAGTCAACACAGGCAAGGTGTTACGGGTACCTAACTTCACATTTACCACGCCAGCTACAGATGTGGAAGAAAAGCTAAAAGTTGCTCGCAAGCGACTCAATAATTAGCTGGTAACCATCGGGGACGGGACTTTGTAGTCGCACAACTTCAGCTAGTTGAGGAACATCAGTATTGAGATCGAAATGATTCGACAACAACAACAATAAATGGAAGTCAGATATTCTCTTCACATATGACACGTTTTTGCTCCGATCGAGATGTGCCTTCAGTTGTTGTAGAGATCGTGGAGACTGGCGGTTCTCGATAGGGAATGTAGTTGTCAACAGCCCCTGCACACACACACACGCATACACACATTGGAAGAGTTATGGCTACTTAAAAGACCCAGATACGTCCCATCCTTATGTTTTAAGCTTCACATGCTGTTTCCTGTTCACTACAAGACTACCAAGCAAAAAAAAGTTTGAACAAGGGATTTGTCTTAGGTGTACAGAAGGATTTGATCACGTACAATACGAGGTTGGATAAACAAGTTTCAACTCCTCTAAGCAGAAAAAGATGTACAGACAAATGTACATGGTGAAATCAAAATGTGGTTATCGGGCTATTAGAGCACAATGGAAATATGCGAGAGCTACTCTGTTAGACGGTCTTGGGTTTAAAAGAAAACAAACAAATACAGAATACTGTCAATAGAGTATGATGGCACTCACGTGGACTCTTAACTATAACCTTTGCGCTGTCCTTTCAGGGTTAGAAGGGTGTAAATGGAGCATAAACAACATCAGGCAGAGGTGTGTTTTAGAACAAAAACAGGTCCAGCAAATCCCAAGATTATGTTGATACTCTAAGCAAGTTCAGACAGAGACAACTAAAAACGGATAACAAAATTGCGTGTTGAAACGCAGTCCAAAGTTCATAAGTAAGGAACGAAAATCACACCTGGTGATCTAGGATCTTGACCAACACGAGGAAGAAATCGTTGTCAACATCACGCGTGTCCTTTCCTAGGATGACGACATCCTTGTTCATCCTCGACAGCTTGGGATCCAGATTTGGGACATTATCTACAAACCAGCCCTCTTTGTAAAGCTTCACGCACTGGTCACTGAGTTGAAATGCTTCAAAATGTACATCGGCCCCGCCTTCTTCATTGACTTCCAGCTTCACAATCGCTGTGGCCCAACCTTCAAATCCACTTTCTGCGTGGAGCTCAGCCGCCTGTTTAATCTCCACACTCGACAGTGTGTAATCCCTTTTGTTCTGACTCACCGTTTGAGTGAAAATGAAACCCACTCTTCTCATTCCTAGTCCTGTGGCAATGGCTTCTACATTCTTTTCCTCTTCTGGGTCCCGCAAAAGGAGAAGGCTTTCCTCTGATCCATGCTGAGGAGGTTCATATATAAATTCCACCTTAACCTCCCCTTCTTCTCCAACTGTACCATACATGAAACCTCCTCTCTTCACAGAAAAGGCCAGACTCTCATGTACATAATGTTGGAAAGCATTTGCAGCGTCTCTGTCAAATGACAAAGAGCAACAGTGAGGTTTCTCCTGTCTCTCAATCCTAGTTTGCCTTGCGATCAAATCATCCATTGTCATTTTCTTGCCAAATGCGCCTGCCGGAGTCACCGGTGGCCCCGCAATTACCCTCTCCCCATTGTAAGAGAGGAAGACCACCGATCCATGGGCAATTCCCAGAGATGTGAGTGAAGCCGACGGAACCTTCATGTCTGTGAATTCAGAGGCCAAATCTGCCGACTTGGACAGGAGCAGGCCCTGGTTTGTAGATAAGAGCTGGTTGGATATTGGAACCTGGAGGTTCTCTTCTATGGCATGTTGTAATTTTCCAACCGTGGCGTTAGGATCCACTGTCACTCGCTCCAGACCATCTCGGCTTCGGATTCTGACCAACATCTTGTCGGAAGGCATGAATCAAGAACCAGCACAACGGCGACGCTTCAAGCTTCCCGCTACCAATCCGAATTGATTCCACGGCACGTATCCTGGAGACAGTGAACCATCGAGTATTTTTCCAGACCACACGCAAGCAGAACGTCAATAGTCTGCAGAAACCCCAATTCCCAATTCTGAATGAAGACCAAAACTAGGAGTGCATGACATGCAATTCCACCGCTGGAGATATTGAAACAGTTTTAAGAACTTACAACTTCCAACTTGCTCAATAATCCCAGACCCAATTCTTCAACAACCTCCGGCAGTTCAATCCGACGGATTGCAGCACATTGTGGACAACAAAAATGCACAGCTAGCCCCAAGGGTTTGAACTCTGGCGTCTTACAGAACCATAGAAGCTTCTGGGCGTTAATTTTGGAATCCCACTACATGGATGGACGGGCACCTGGAGCTCGAACAGGACCCCTGAATCGTAAATATCGGATGAAGCGTTTAAATTGATCGAATGGATCTCTAAAACAGGTTTGCTACTGACAGCTGCAAACAGCAAGATTGGATTTCTGGCTCTAAGTCAGCAGAAGCAACTTCGGCAAGCCCCAGGAGTGTCGATGTCTAGGACGGTATGCTCAGAAATCGACGAGAAAGTAGCACTAGCGCTACTGCTTGATGCAATACACAGCCCATGCAAATGGGAGCAAAGCCAGAGAAAGACGAGAATGTTAAGAGAAAGGAGGAAGGAATGAAGTAGAAGGCAACCGGAGACTAAGGAGAAGTGCAAGCCAAGGAAGGCGATGGAAGGGAAAGGAGGGTTCGTTCAGTGGCACCTGGTCTCTCTTGCTCTGCTTTCCTTGACGCATGGAATCTCTTTTTCATTTTACCAGCTGCTGTGGCTGTTTGATTCAACCCCTTGTTCATCAAGTTTGGAATTCCCCCTACAAGCAAGAACCCCAGTTCCAGCATTTCATCCGTTTCATGAATGTCTACCCTCACCATGGATGACACTTTGATCCAAAATGTAGGTTTCACAATGCCTTTCTCTTGGATGACCTCCCCTTCAGCTGTTGTACCCTCCTCTTTCGTCAATCAGAACTGGATTCCACGGAGGGATGACCGTAAGAGCTAGGACATTTATGACATATGAAAGAATCATATCAAGGAGATGAAGAGTTTAGCACCTGTTCGACCTTCCTTAGTCATGGTTTAGTGACACGGTTTATTAGAAATTTTTCAAACTATCTTCAAAAAATAGGGCTAATGGTTTTCGTATACTAATAGAAACGTATTTCCCAAAATAGGTTACAAAACATATATATTTAAATATGATACCTTTCATGCTTAGTATGCTAAGCTCTTGCACACTGGAACATATTGAAATAAGTGTGCCTAGCTTCGCACGACAAGAATAACACAGTTGCAAATCATTGATCAATTGTCAGAATGTATGACATCTGTACTTTCTACGACTTTAGTTCTTCGATTCCAGCATTTCACGATCACGAAGCACAGCATTTCCTCTCGAAATGGTGTACACCTTTCTAACTCTAGCAGCCACTGCTACACTGAGTCCACCTTCCCTCCAGAAAACCGAATATGCCACTTTGTTTGGGACATTGGTAGTCCCGAACAAAATGAGAGCCCTGGCTGATTTATCATTATTATTTATTTGGATGTTTCACATCATAATTCAGTCCTTCCATGCTTGGTAACAGCCGTGTCCCTAATGTCATATACCGGAGTCAGGCCTCTAAGTTCGGCGTATAAACATATCAGTTGACCACAGCAATACAAATGTGCTGCGAGGGGAATTACAAATGCGAGGTGAGCCTTTTTGGTCAATAGAGATAATAATAAAGATTGTGGGGGTGGGTTAATGATATTTTGCGTCGAAGAGGAAGCCCAAATTTGTGCAGGATAGAAAATCAAAGCAGTGAAACATTAACAACCAAATTATGAAACAAATGTGGTAGCTTCATGAGCTTACCTCTAAGTTGTAAAATGGAACCAACCTTCTATGTAGTGGATTGGCACAAGTTATCCAACCAAAATAGTAGTTTGGTTGGATAACATCAATGTGTCTTTACACGTTATCTATGTACTTTACTTAACTTTCTATCAGCATCAGCCAATGCTGATGTTCACATTTGTTTGTACCTGGCACTTTAGGGCTGACGTTGGTAAATAAAATATCCTTTTGCTTTAGTGTATACGTATGCCAGTCTTTGTCGGAATTTTACTGTTAATATATAGCATTTGAATACTGTCCTAAATTTCTAAGGCAGCTGAAGGATCCCGGTTGGAAGTCAGAAAGTCCAATCGATTCGGAAACAGGAAAATACAATCGGTACCTAGCCTGCAGCAACGAGCTAGGTAATAACCATCATTTAGTAGAAAATAAAATAAAATTCTCAAGTTACGCAAAAGCTAACTTGTTTTTTAGAGAAATATGATGAACATCTCATATCTGCGTTAGAAATTTCTAGAAATGAAAAACAAATCATGTAATTTTGAAGAATTGAATGATATATAAGAAACCGATATCAATCAGTAATTTTTAACTCACTATGTTATAAATTACCGATTGAAAACTGAACTACTTTAGAGCTAATTAAACCTTTGTAATAGTGAGTGAAACATATAATGTCTAAATTTTAAATCATTAAGATAATATATGGATAATATCATGGTTAAGATAATTTAATTTTTTTCTCTAAATTTAAACAGATAAAACTCAAAGGATAATACAATGTGTAATATTATATTCAGTAATAGATCTCACATGTCACTAGTTGACTTTAATCTTGTTTCAAACCTTGAATATCAAAGCAAGCAAATAAGGATTTATTGATTAGATAAAGATAAGTACTATAAAAATTTTCAACGTAGATAAATAGATATAAATTTGAGAAAAAATTCCCACATTATAACATAGTTTACAACTTATATTTTAGTTGCGAAGAATAGTTGCTTGTCTAATACCTCTAAAGCCATATCGGTTCTGTACTTAAGTAGTTGTTTAAAACGCTGCTAATAAATTAGTTTCTACTTTGCTCTTTTCTCTAAAGCAAGTATTGATATTGATTGCTATTACTTCTCTTCATAAAATGTAACTTGAAAATTTTTCTAATCACTTTCTTCAAACCATTTCAACTCAAAAAAAATTTAATGTAATATTGGAGTTAAATAGTACTTATTCGATTAATCTTATTGACAAAATTAAATAATCTTCCTTGGATATATACATAGAGAAATATACATCGTGAATCTAAAATATTGTATAATATGTTAAAAGTATCAGTACCCTTTTCAATTACCTTGTTGAACGTGAAACTTCCACAGGTCAGTCTCAATGTGCACCTCCACTTACTCAACAGGATCCATGCAACTTCGCTACAAGTCTATGGTCTTCACAGATACAATTTCAAAAAAAGGATAATTACAGAACACTATGCTTCTCTAATTGTGGTCCAATGTTCATATTCCCTTCATCTACTAAGAAGTTCTTGGCATTAGTCGCGTATTGTATCTTCTGTCATGAACTTTTTACTTCGTCTCTCTGGCTACATCCTGTCCCTTAATTAATTTGCGCAAATTCTCTCCACATATTAATATATGTAAATGTGGTTATAATTTATTTTCCAATTAAAAACAGCATGCTCTAAACCTGAAATTCTTACTTTGTTAACGCATAGAAAATTGATCAATAAGTTGCAAAGGGTGTAACAAATGTATCGAAATCACCACATTGGTATTGAAAATGTCATGTTTTCAGACTGCGTAGATGCAAGTTGATAGTAAACTGTGAAGATTAAAGATGAATCGGTTTAGGCTAATAATATAAGTACGATTGTAAAAAATGTTTTCTAAATAGCTCGTGAGAACATGTTCCCCCCACTTCCTTCAATAAAGGTAGCTCACTTAGATTTAGATGTACATTTTGTTTCATGCAAAAACAGACAATTCTCACAACCATGATCCATCAGAGAAAATGTCCTGGGGCATCTATCCGAATTCAACAGATATCATAATGTCCAAATTGCAATATGATATTTTTATTTAAAGTGTTTATCATAACTACTGTTACATGAGATGTTTATTAAAGGTGACTTAATTGGGATGCAGTCAAATTCCACGATTGAAACTGATGGAATATATTTACAGTATCAATGTGGATGAAAAGGATCAAACAGATTACACATGAGATGTTTGTTGTCAATAAATTGTATATTTACGATTTTCAACATATTTTATATATTTTCTTCTACTATTTTAACAGTTTGATTTTTACCATCTACAATATCTCCTGACCCACAGCCAATCATCATTGGGATCTTTACAAATCTTAACCATTTGGTTCCATGAGTGTACGACTTGATGGAGTCTTATCATCGCTTTTGCAATGAGCACTTGGTTTTTTCAACTTGACATCAATAACTTATATATTACTGACGCTGTTTCACTGTTTCTAACTCGCAGTGGATCTTGCCAAATAATTCTCCGCGGGACGACATCCACTAAAATTGTGAAACTCACGAATTGCGACAAACATTTTCATACCTAGAGGATTGTGAGCTCCTATTCTGTAGATGCATATCCCAGAACGACGGGACTTGGTACCATCTACTCAAGATTGCTTCCTGGTTCGTTAGTTACACAAACAAACACTATAACTCTTAAGAATCAAATTTGTGCTTCTTACACGATATACTGTTTTTGTGTACAATGTCTACGGCGGGATCAAGATAGATAGACACAACTGGGGCCTATGGCTATTTGGAAAGATATTCTTGCTGTCGATCAGTTAACGTCGCACATTTACGACATTTCGTATAACCTGTACATTCGTTACGAGACGTGAACATACATATAGTCTGAGAGCTCCAGTATATTATTAACCCTAATCATGTAAAACTCGTGCACTGATTGTGTACATAAACTTCAAGATATATAGGACATGAGTCAGTTGTTCGGATGTGCAAGTTCATAATTAGACATTCAATATTTTTCAAATATGCCGATTGGCTTAGCAGACTATTACAAGATAAAAAATACCAAGTATCAAAGATGTCTGAATGAATAACATCCGATATGTACATGTCATTTCATCCCATTCATGAGCTCAAAGGCGGCAAAAGATCCATCACCTAAAACTCAAGAACGGAGACTATCAATACACGTTCCAGTTCAAGTAGGAATGATAGAAAACATTCAATATATAGCCACAGCTTCCAAGACACGTTCCAATTCCAGTAGGAATAGTAGAAAACATTCAATACATGGCCACAGCTTCCAACTTCAGAAATCAAACTCAAAATCTCATCAGTGCGAGTACAAGTTTCTTGTTCTAAAACAATTAAATATGAGGTACTTGCCTATTAACTTAAAATCATTTGATTCTGAACTTCCACTTTAAAACTTACATCATTATCTAAAGTTTATGATTACAATTCACATTACAAGGGAGATATCCTCACCTTATGAACAAACACTTCCCAGAAAGCACATTTACTGTAAAGCATCATCGAAAATCCCGTGAAGAATCAGCTTTGTCTTGTCATCTGCGAATGTGTAGTTGATTGCACTCTTCCCCATTATCAGAAGTTCCAAGTTCGTAAGACCTGTTGTTCAAGAGACAAAACAGAACTTCATCACTACTCCGGATTCTTGGATATATATTTTTTGGTTGGTAAGAAAGTGCTTCGTATCGTCCAAATATTGAGCTCAATATTAGTATTAGTTATTAGGCAATGAAAATTAGTATTAATGACTCGATTACTTTGAGAAGAAATTATGATCCAGAGTCTGCATGAACTGAGCATAATAGCACAAAACTTGTGTTTAGCGTAAAGAAGTAGTGATAATTATACTCCATGATCACAAATAAAGTTTCTTCTTGCTAAAAGGTTACAATGTTAAGTTCTTCGTAAAACATAAGCTTCATTACAACTCCATTAGACCAAGCCTAGATATGTGTAATGCATGCATTGCTCCAAGTATAATGCATATACTCAAAGCTATAATTGGGCAACAAATACTCCGAAGAGAAATCCAGATTACAAACTACGTAACAAACACGAAAAAACACATGTTGTAAAAATGTATTTCAAGGTCAAAGAACTCGATTCCAAGTTTAAAGTTGTCAAAATTGAGCAAAAGATATCATGCTATAAAATTTGACAAGGATTTTGCGTTGGGTTTATAAATTACCGAAACAAGTGGCAGCGATTGCAAATTCAAGAGTTAGGGAAGTAGAAAATAACCCAGGATCATCAGTGCAAAGCACAACAGGATGCTTAGCATTATAAAGGGCAGCTGCATAAAACATATACAGTTAGAAAGCCACCACTCGCATTCCACAAGTTTTTAAGCAGGAGGCACAGAGTTATTCATCAGTTCATGATGAATAATACAGACCTATAGTGTTGAATTTCTCGGAATTATGTACTCATAAACTGTAATCCTCTGAGATTAGCCTGAAATACTACTATTACTCAGAAAAAGTTTACATCACAGCTATGGCTAACTGGATTTCATTGACAATTTGATGCTCATAAGATAAATCAGAGGATGTAAATTCTAGAGAAAAATTTCTCGATAGATAAATAATCATGTTCAAGATGAGTAGTTGAGGATGAGAACTAACCGAAATGATGATCTCGCATGGAGGAAACACTTTCAGTACGCACGTTGGAAGTGAGGCAAATCTCCACCTGTTATCATCGAAGGTTATGGTTGGAATATCCATAGACATAAAAGTCCTCGTCATGCAAAGATGAGAACCGAAAGCTACAACAGACCAAACAAACCTTTAGTCTCGCTCACGCTAGTGAGACTGAACACCTTAACGGAACACTGAGTCCGTTGCATTATATGTATCAGAATCTTACAGGTATACCCGAATCCAACAAAGCTCTCCATTCTGCTTCTTCCAGGCAGCACACGTGCCCCAACCTCCTGGGTTGGAGAGCAAGCATTTCACGAACCTCCTTAGGATTTGACACCTACAGTGAGGGCATCACTCCGATTGAAAGGATCAAAGCGTGATCAGTAAGTGTCTAATACATCAAAAGACTGATGATTATCTAATTGATCAGCTTGGTATGAATGAAGATAAAGGTCGCAGATAAAAATAACAAAGATACGTGGCTTATGATGACATTAGCAGAGGTCCTTTGAACAGTCTGCTTAAATGCACAATTATGTTCTGGCTGAAGCAAGAAGGTACAAACTTTAACACCCAAATGTACAACTAACTGTCCACCTTGTCCATTCCCTTTGGTTTCTTGACATGTAATATATGTAAGTACTTTAGCTTAGAACTTGCCATGCTAGAAAACTTGGAAGTGATACAATTTAATTCGTTAAGTATGGACATTTCTCTTCTCACTTACTTCTCCACAATGCAGCGTCAAGGGTACTCCAAGCTCCTTGGCCAAAGTAAGGGCAGGTAAGAATGTTTCCCTGAGACGAATATGTCAGATATTGACATGAGACGTCCATCTTTAAGAATGTAAGGATTAAAGAGGCGCATAAAGAAAGCAAACCTTTCATGTCCATTGGTTGTTCTACAATGAAAGACAGGGGCTAGAAAATATGTAAAGGCTGCTGATGCTCTCCACATGAAACAGGTTGAAATAAATCAATACCAATTGCCAATAGCAGGGTCACCACTTAAATCAACTCCCGCCACACCACGATCTCTCATGTCCCAGGCAAGCTGGACCTGTACGAAGCAGGGTTGCCAATTTTAGAAAGCACTTCACAAATGCTTCGCATGCTAAATCCATGCCAAAAAATGTTGAGGCGTGACAACTGTTGTTTGATATCTTTCAATGTTAGATAAGTGCTAGTTGGGATGATGAAATAGACTACTTACCGTATTCATGGCAGCTTCTGCGTTTTCTCGACGATCGATACTTAACAGTAAACGAACGTGCATACGATGCCCATCTTGCACATCGCAATCGGTTTTATACATTACTCCCGCAGCCTCAAAGCCAGCAAAAACAGCTTCAACATAAGAGCGTTTACTCATCCCATAGAGGTCATTGCACTGTAACCAAAGAAGTAAACCATATTATATCAACCTCATTGCTCTTGAAACATTTGGTTCTCTCCGCAAACAAAATCACCATGATACTGACCTTCGGAGTCGTGCGTAGCTCCAAGTACACAACGTTGTCCAAGAGAAAATCTTCAATTGCCTAAACATCAGAACATCATTGTGTCAGGGCGATCCCCTCCAGATAAAAAATGTTGGAATTCTAGAGGTGAGAATCCGTCCGTACTTCTCTGGTGATTCTTGTGACGACAGCATGGTCAGTTGTAAGTGCATGGATGACGGGGAATAGCCTGAAGCACTCTGTCAACGACCGATCCTCTGACAAAACACATCAAGCTACAATGGTAAGAATTAAACGCAAGGATATCGAACAATATCTCAAGTCCAGCTTCCATGTAACACAGATCGATTGCATAAGAAGAGGGTGTGATCTCCTCTTTTGTAACACTTTGAAGTATACCTCTAAACCTCTTCCCTTCGGGTTTAGGGTTTATGTCGAGGATTAGAAGCAAAAGTACCAGGTTCTCCACGCATGTGTAAAAGATTATGAATCTCCTCACCTTTGCGAATTAAACTCTCCAGGTCTGTGTTTGAAATCTTCTCTTTGCTGTTTTCACCGACGGCTAAATCTCTACAACATCAGCAAGTAACAAGACGGATCAGCTAGAGTCATTGATGTTGATAAGGTATCTGTCTACGTAATCCCCAGAGATTTTCAGTTCGGAAAAGTGTTCGGAAAAGTGGAACATGTCTTGCGCCTACTTTCAGCAATACCAAAATGTAAAGCCAATATCAGATGCTTGAGAAAATGTAGACTCTATCGACACGAGCAACCAAACTCTCAAAACGTTGAGACTTGAAAAGAGAAACTACAATGTACGCCTTTTAACGAGTAGAATTTTGAAAAAGCATCGCGTAATTCCCATAAAAGATTAACACTCACAATAAAGTTGAAGTTCGAACGCAACCGTTGAGATGCGCGTGCAGTTCCAACTTTGGCATCGCTTTCAAGAGCGGCATTTGCATAGCTGAAACTTGCAGCTGGGCGGCCAGTGAATTTATCCAATTCTTCTTCTCTTTAGTCATCATGCTCTGTTCTGTTCAAATTGCTGCCTACCTTCAATGTTTGCATTCAGCCACTGGCAGTGTTCCTCCTGCTGTCGTGATTCTGATGACAAACACTCAGAGCGTTTTTCACGGAGGAGGTGTAAGTTTTTCTCTTTCGACGATCGTAGTATTTTGGTTTCTGATTCCACCGATAACAAGGAGACAAGGGATCTGAAAAAGACAGAAGAAAGATGTGATGATGGTCATTAGATGGCATTCCTGGCAACCAGTGTCAGGCTTCAATACTTCAGCTCCCCGCCAGCCAAATTAAAGCCATGAAGCCTCTTCACTCGGTGCGTCTACCTTGCCTACACAGCGAATCTCTTCCTTAGGAGGAGCAGGAATTCTGCGTCGGACTAGTGTGTCATCCACATCCTTCCCCGTGAGGAACTTCGATCCAACCAGCCGTTGAACCAATGGTAATTTCTCGAGCTTGGAAAAATAGAATAAACTGAAAAACTCTCAGACCTGCTGGTAGATGGGAATCTTAATCTTTCATCTTTCTTTATAATATTCATCGAGTGCATAAACTCTTTAAAGTCTAATTTCATTCTTCTTATTGGGATGGTGGATCTCAGACTGAGAAAATCTATGAAATTTCTTCAAAAGTAATTGGTGCTTGAATCGGATGGGGGGCCTATCTTCCTTCCAAGGAACTTCCACAAACATCCATTGAGTGCACAAATTAAAATCTTTATCAACCAGCTCACCCACATGCTGCTGGCTGCTGGTACACAGCTGGTAGACGGCAGTCACCGCACCTCTTCTTCCCGAAAACTGCTCCAACAACTCCTCCACTGTCAAATGGGGAATTTGTTATTCCACCATTTGTAGTTACTGCGTCTCTGTCATCGTAGGACTCTAGAACACTCAACTCAGCCCACTGGAAAGTCTGTACGTCGTCGTGAGTAAGTGACACAGAGAAATCAACCTACCGTTGTACATTGATAAATCTTCGACATGTGGTTCATAATTGAAGAAGAAGTCGTTCTTGTGCTTGTGTAATGTACCATCACTCCATCTTAATGACGAGGCCTTCCAATTGTTTGCTTGAACCGCTCAGGTGGAAAACACATGATGGGGGTAAGCTGTTTTTGGGCTGGATTCTTCTGATTTTCTGCTGCATATTCTATGTCGAGAATTTCCTATTGTCTCTCGTGTCCATCTGCGTGCGCATATTTAATTTGAAAGGTTGTTGTGAAGATTGAGTAGAATCACTTCGGTGTACATAGATGTACGATAACAAAGACGTTGCGTAAACTTTATGCGTCTAGCACTCGTCGGTAACAGTAGATGAAATCGTGGGAATCTCAATTACCTCTGGAATTCATGTAACCTCTTTGTATACTTACCTTTTAAATCTCTATATATAAATCTCTATATATAAATCTCTATTTATATATAGATTTATATCGAATCCTTTTACAAACGCAGCATATAATGCCCGTCAAAGGTATTCCTGTTTCTTAACTTGTTATATAGACTTTGTACATACTGCTGCACGTATATAGTATTATCTTCTGCTATCTACGTGGCAGCAAGCTTATGTAGATCAATGTTAGTTGATGACTTTTCTAATACAATCTTGATGATTCTTCTCATGTACTTTCGTGAATCTTTGTAGATGATCAAAAATTATAGTTATATTAAGACATATTCTCCACTATGGCGCTTTTGGATCTCAGCACCATCTTCCAACTTTGATTTCATCAATGTACGGCTTGAGGTGTTTTACCCATACTTTTTGCTATTAAATTTTATGGGTGCTTTCTATGCTAGTATACACCGTTTCCATATACATCATCATGGATCGGCTGTAATCACAACTTATGGAACATCGATATAGTATTTTATACCAAATGTAAAATTGTACCGAATAACTTGATTGTAAGTGTTAGCCATACTCATTACATTTGATTTACCCACCACAAAGTGAAACATGAAACAACTCATACATAATAGTCAACTTTTTCTCTTTGAGTAGTTTGCTTGTCATATGGATGTTGTTGTGTAAATGGTAGTATCAAATTTACAAGAAGGGTATAAAGTAGATAACAAAAATAGATTAGAAAATTCCATGCAGAAGTAGATAACTTAACAGTAGCTATGTACTAGGTCCAAAACTATTACAATTGATCATATGTTTGTATCATCTAAATGACCGGTGTTATGATAAAAGTAAGAGTCAAATCAAGAGCACATTAATTTTGTAATTGTTGTGAGTCATAAATACCTGATGATAATAGAGGCAAGATCTACAAATGAAAATACTTGCAAGAGCTATTAGAAATACAAAAAAATTTGATAGTTAGAAGAGTGTTCTTGCTCTATGAGCACTTAAAAAGATTGATTGTAAGCTTGTGTCAATAGTAGATATAAACATCTTAAGTTAATTAGAACTAAAATAGAAATTACTCAGGATGGAGAGATATAGTAGCACTATCGTGAAAAATTTATCATTATATCCTTGTGTTTGGTAAGTAAAAAATAAGTTTGTTAGTGAACATCTACATGTGTGCTTGTTCAAACCATAGCTAAAATCTACAAATCAGCAACTTCTCGCTCCTTTAGTCATTTGTCATAGTCATCATAATAGTAAAGAGTAGATCAAAAGTAAACTATTAATAGTCATTTGTAAATTTGTCCAATGTTAAAATATTTCCGCTTGATGGCGATTCAAAATTTACATGGCTTTTAAGACATATAGTGTGCAAATATCAAATCAGTGCTTAAAAAAATAAAAAATTTAACCAAGACGGCTATTATTTTGTTTTACATTTGCGTTGTTATTTCACTTGCTCTCAAACCATTTGTTACTTAGAAAATCACAAAATCCATCAAATAGTGTGCTATTTGATGGATTTTGTTAAAACAAAAACATTAAGACGCATAAAACATATGCACAAGAACATGCAGATTCACCGTCATATGTGACGTTGTTTGTTATTGGCTACTCCAGAGTTCTATCAATTATTCATTTTGCAAAAACTGATACAATGCTCAACATGGGAGTTAGATCCATTGACTTTAGTAGTCAATATCAAACCAAATCCTATCCCAGGTATTTCACAAACAGAACCAACAGTACGCAAGAGTTAGCTCCAACAGAAAACACCTTTCACAAAAGCAAAGACATTTTACTAGTGTCATTAAATTTATATCATTTAAAGATACTATCAATCTTCACATGTAGTCATAAACATATTTTAATACAACCAACTAGAATGACACTAAAAAAGTTAGAAAACTTGAATTATTTTATGAAAATATTTTTTCTATCTATTGAATTGAGTTCTTTAATTTTTATAATCAGCATGATAATTCAAAAAATCCAAAATATATTTATTTAACATATAATACTCTAAAAACTTTAATTTTTTTTGATAAAATTATATTTTTAAAAAACATGTTATGTGATTTTTATATAATAATGGCATGATATTCTTATATATTATGCTTGCCCATAATATTAAATATTCATAAAAGCTTAAATCAACTTAAACTTGAAAAATAACAAATTTCTATTACCTAGTAATCTCAGCTCTATTCTTTAATGCTATACATAATACATCTTAGCTTCGGACTCAGTAAAGTTGACTTCATCATAAATGTTATTGAATTCTTGCGTATATAAATTGTTGTGGTAATAAACTGTCAACATAATTTTATTAGGTCTTCCCACGTCAAGCATATCTTCCTAGAGCTTCATTCAACGCTTTTTTGAGTCTAACAATCCAAAAGATATCAAAAAAATTTCCATGTAAGGTTTTAAACTAATTTGAATCAATAAACACTAGATAACGTTATAAATTTAAATTATAACAAATCCAATAACCTCAATCGTGCACAGTTGATAATTTTCTATAAAGACTCAACTGTTTGGAAAAAAAAAATACCAAAAACATCTCTAATGTATCGTACGCGTACACATTCTTTTCCAACATACATTGGTGTCATTACCATTCTAACCATGATGAAAGAAGTCTAAAGAATCAATGACATACTCAAGTGAACATCCAATAATTCAAGTCAGGCTTTAAAGTTCAATTTAACTAAAGTTCAATTATAATAAAATTTCCAATGTTACATCTAGGCAAACCAAGCCAACCTAACCTTTAACTCAAAAAGGTATATAAGTACTTGGAAGCACACTCACGTACTAAGCACAACGGGCTTTAACATATCCACTCAAAGAAACTGAACTTCATTGGTGATTAATTTATATCGTCTTGGGCATTACCTTGATCTACCAAACTAAGTCACAAAAACCAGAAAATCCTAAACTCTTATTAACTATTAGTGCAGACTATTGGATCTGACGATTACGGTCAGAGTAACAATCAATCTAGATTTTGACACGCTTTGTCATCGTCCTAATTTGTAATCTATTGACATCCAATACTTTCTATTTTTACTGAATCAAAGTAATCATAATATTATTATTTTAAAAATTTTTATTACATAACAAATGTAATAATAAAAAGCACAATCTAAAATCTATACATCATTAACATTTCTTTGTGAATTGCACAAGGCATCAGAATCTATTGTCGAACAAGTCAATCTTCTCAAAGTAGGATATTGACTTTCATTGATTAAAAGAGTAATAACAACTTTGATTTTCACACAACATTCCTTCTTGGTGTTATTATTTTTGCCACATCTCCAACATATCAATATATTTCTCCTTGATATTTATCTTTAGATCCAATATATTTGTCATTCTTGTCATTTTGTGAATATGATCAAACTCAAATCACATTCAATACCGTGACAAAAAAATAGTATGAAGGAGAAAACTATATTATTTTTTGTTGTAAATGATAGATCAAGAGAACACTTACAACAAAGTTGTAAGTGTTTGTGTGTGTGTCAAAATGAAGCAATAAATATGAAAGTGATTGATGTAAAACATGCAATAAACTCAAGAGTTGAAGAGTTTTGCTTTTATTATTTATATTATTTTCAAGATTATGAATATCAATGACAAGATCATCAATATGAACTTGGATCTTTATGCCAGAATCTATCATTTGAAACTCATTAGTGTCAAAAAGATAAAAAAAAAAAGTATTTGACAAGTAATTGCGATGAAATCGTGCTTCAAGAACCTGAGAAAACAAATTACATTTGACACACTCATCTACTTGCTTCAAACTCAAAAGTTGTTCATGCAATATGATATTATTCACAACTTGCTACTTGATGCATATCTAGTCGTTTGATAATAGTTTTCATCCCTATATTAATTTTAAGAATCTAAAATATTCATTATTTTTGAAAAAATGATTGTTTTTATTATATAACAACGTTTTTTTCATAATACGTGTTGGAATAAGTTAATAAAAAAGGCTAGTATATTTTATCATTAATGATATAAATATGGAATAAACTTGACAATTTAGATCTAAATTCTTGTCTTTTTATTTTTTATTTTTCATCAAGAGATACAAAGGTGAGTTATTGATAATCATTTTTGTTAATTCAACATCAACGTGTGGACTTGTGAAAATATAAACTCATTTGTATTTTGTTGATCCAAATTGGAATGAATTTTCTTATATACAACACAACATCAAACACATTGCTAATAGTATTTCTGATTTTCAAAATATAATTCACTGGAATATATTGAAAATGATAGTAAAAACATCACAATTTGATTACCATAAATGATTATACTGTTAACATATGCAAATAACTTTGTGTCATAAGTTTTGAGATTTTGACTGATTCTAAAAAAGGCATGCAAGCTATTTGCAAATCTAGAATTTGTGATCGAATGTTGGTGTTGATTGCAATACTTTATTCTTTATCACAATTCTTGCGATGAATAAGTTCGATATGGAAATGAAGTTGATTCAAACCAAGCTGAGTGAACTTCAAACTTTACCTACAACTCAAAATAGAATGAAATTATTCATATGAACCAATAGTGACATATCTCTCTAATTTTCTGCAAGATGTAGTATGTTTAAGAAGTAGTTGCATACAATATGTAAATCTAGATGAGGATGCAACACTCATATGAAAGAATCTGATTAATAACAAAGTGAATAACAAAGAGAAGAATCTTTTCAAAAAAATACTCTTTGTTATTCACTACAAATTTCTTTTTTATTCACTAAAAAATAAGAAAATACAATCAAATATTAATTTGTTCTTGCAAATAAACATGAATGTGCTATTACTAGCAAGAAATTTTTTATTTATATATATATTGATTGTACGAGGTAATGAAAGAATGCACATGTCATGGCCAATTTCAAGACATACATCATAGCTTATCTATTCTCCACAGCAACCAGCTACTCGAGCACACCAATGCTATCAAATTTGATTATTTTTCGTCTTGTAATAATCATTCTTAGAAATGGTATCAGATTTGAAGTATATATATGCAACCTTCTCATTGAACACTTGAGAGAATGATTGGCATATTGGGACTCATTTAATAATCAGAGTTGGCACAAGAGCCATATTGCATACAAACACATTAGTTTCAAATCAAAGATTTTCTTAGTCCCACAAAAATGCGAAAAACATCCGCCGAAATCTTCATTCAAGAAAGATTTTCTATGTTGCGCATCCCATTCGCCATTTGATGAAGATTAGAGCCCGCGGAAAGCTCATCCTGTTCTCCTCTCTCTCTCTCCCTTCCTCACAATTGAATGTAAGTCGACATGTAGATGTCACAACTTATGGTCTCACTAATCAAAAAGTGGACCTTGTTACCGAGCCTGATATCAGCCTAGGTTCCTTCTTCTTTCGTTAAATCTATTAGTCTTGAGAATATCCCCACCTTTTTTTCTAGAACGTAACCATCACTAAAAACCACTAGAGGTTGACGATCAATATCCATGAGACTATATATCCTTTCAACCATATATAATGTCACGAGTAAGAATATAATATAATATCACTTCTGGACACACATTAGACCAACTCAACACACTCAAGAAACAACCCCCATATATATATATATATATATATCAACAACTACAATATCTTTATATTGAATGTGAGACCAGTATGAACCTTCACACAACTGGGTAGCAAATTCATCCATCACTTTAAGGTGGTATTGAGGTTTAATGTACATAAGGGGAGACCTTTTAACCATAGCCGTGTACTTCTCTCTCATGGTATACCGATTATCTCTCACATTTGCCTCAGTGGAGCGTCATCACTCTGGGAAAATCCGAGATCGGAAGGAGGAGTTCCGAAACCTTCACATGACCACGTCCTTCTGACTCCACGATAAGACAAGTCTAGAGCTAGTAGAAAAGAGAAGTAGGTACTGGGGGAAATGCCAACTGACACTGAATTTGAAGCAGAAAGTGTTGCACCAGAAAGGGGACCTTTCGAGAGATGTAGACGCAGACTTCTATGCCAGATAGAATCGTCATAACCTGGATCTGATTTCAATGCATGCTTGTTCGCATCGGGAGACAAAGAGACCGTGATATCCAAAGCCTTGTTGATCTCTTTCCTTTCGTTGGTGAGAGCATAGCGCTCTGGAGAGTGGATCTCAGCAGAAAGTGGGAGGGTTTCTCTGGAGGGAGGAAGGAGGGTCGGTAATGTGTCCATCACAGACGATACTGATTCTAGAGATCCAGAGTTTCAGACTGTTCGGGTGAGGAAGCATTGGGAAATCACTCCTCTGACTTTGAACTCGTTGTGTTTCGATCTGAACTGGTAAAGCCGGCCGCGGGCTCTGAACTCTGCCAAGTAACCCGCCATGTAGTTATTAGCTGGGTTCGGTACGCAGTTGAATGTCAGCTTCACCCGAAGCAAGTAGTCATTATTTTTCATGTCCGACACATCGTCTGGATCCTTCACTATGGCGAGCACGAAGCGATCGTCCCGTATCGTTTGCAGGATCATGATGTCTATGTACCTGATAGTTGCGTTCAATTTACTCGTCATTCTTCTCATTAAAACTACCTCCAGCGTCCGCGGAACGAAGCTCGCTGGCTTCTCTGTCTCATCGTCTTGCCTGGAAAACCTACTTCTTGAGGCGGCCGTCAGAAGCATGCTCCTCTTCTCTTGAGACCAGTCGATCAGTGCTAGGTCTTGCGAAATACTTTGCCTGGACGAGAGTCTTGAGCTTTTTCTCGTCCGATGTCCTTGAGTTGTAATCTTAGACGACGAGACCAGCTCATCGCTGTCGTGATCCGTGTCATGGGCTTGTGATTGTTGGCGCTGTGTGGCAGAGGCGTCATTTGTATCCGTGTCACCATTTGCACGTCCTTGCAAATCGCAGTACTTCGAATGATTTGTCTCCCGCGGTCTGGAGAATGAAACGCTCTGACGCTGAAGATCCTCATGACGGGTATTTCCTGTCTGTCCATGAGCTCGAGGAATTTCGGAGGGATCTAAACGAACATCTCCTGGTATAGAATCAGCATTTCTATCAAAGAGGTTGTCATTTGCTTGGACATCCGGACCGTAGTTTGACGTCGACATCCGCTCCGAGCTGCCTTGCATGCTTTGAGAACGATTTTCTCTGATCCATTTCGTTTGTCCTTCGCCGAGAAGGTGTGATGGCAACCTATTGTCAAAACTTCCTGCCATTAAAAGGATTTTATGAACTGCGAGGGTATCTTGTCGCAGTTTGGCGTGTCAGACCAAGCACAAGAGACGCACGCTAAGATCCTGCACCAGAGGCTCTGGAAAGCATTTTCAAGTCCACGAGTTTGCACATAACGTCGCACAAATTTGAAAATGGAATTGTGGAGCAATCGTCACGACGTTTCGGTGATTTTGAGATAAGTCAATGTAATAAAGTCTCACTTCTTCGTAAAGACTGGGCAAATTCTATGGCACTTTGTTTGCTTTACAGGAGGCGAAGATTCGCTACCTGGGCTACACCGGTAATGCCAAAGGGACTACTCTATACTCTCTCTATTCGACTTCATGTCTCAGGCCGGAAGAGTCAGTACTGTATATGAGTCATCTATGCTTCCAGGTTGTCTGCGGGTGGTTGAACTGGTTGCAGCTTGACGTGCGACACGAATAATCAGAAATAATTTACAGGTCCTGGTGTCGAGCTTCAGTACAACTCCATAACCTCGACTGTCGTGCATCGCCCTGCACTGCATCGCAGTGCTGGTTGACTCGAACCATTCAGTGTCCAGCTAGTAGCTGGTAAAGTTATGCTTCGTGGAAGTCACGGGCATTTTCTATGTCGCTGGGTGACACATGGAGTTCGAAGCAAGCAGGAGAACCTATTGCGAAGAGATCTGTAGGGATACAAACTGCCAGAGAGACACCTAATAATTCATGACAGTTCTGTGTTTGCCAATTAATTTACTGACCTTTGACAGGTACAAGACAGTCAGAGGTAATTTCTCGTTACCATACCAAAGCAGCATACTTTTCAGCATATCCTTCACACGCAACGCTCAGTCTTTGCGAAACTCAAGTGTATGCAATGCCTTGAGCATGATTGATTAACAGCTTTCACGGTAGCACAGCCTGTCACAGTGTGAACAATGGGAACTAAATTCTTCGTCCCATGGGCCGTGACGTGTTGCAGAAAGCTATTTCAAGGTGAATCATCGGAATATAAAGCAACCCTTTCGCAGCACACTAGCGGAACTTCATCATCAAATCTGGCGCAAAGGATTGCGATGCTATTCATAGTCTGGATTTATTCTGCTGGAGAGTGCCTTTCCATCACCTTCGGAGAAAGTTGTGATTTCAAAACAAAAAATCAATCAAGGGTTCACGAAAATATGTGAAAATCCATCCGTAGCTTCTTGCAGGCTCATTAGAACTGCAAGCGGATGCTATAGTCATGACTTCAAACTGTATTTGTTAGTACAGAACATGTATGCATGAAGTTTCATGGAACCAAAAGTCAAGATGAAGTGAACTTTCTAATACTCTTCAACTTTGACTTCGATGTCATGTATGTTACAAAGACAATATCTTCAGAGCGTAGAGAAGTGTGGCGCGAAGTTAACCACTTTTATGATCGGGTGATTGCTTTGACAGGATAATGACAATGTTGTTAAGGGTTGCAACCTCCTCAAAAGAAGGTGTTGGCTTCGAGCTAGATTCGCAATTGAGTACTCGAGAGTCCATGGTAAACAACTTCCAAACGGGACAGGTATCAGGATCTGCATTGGATGAGGTGAATGTGGTCATTTCAAGGCATACGTGCGACGAGCGTTTTCCATGACGAACTGCTGCTGCTGCGAGTCCACTTGTGGAGAAGTAGCAGGAGGAAAACTGCTGTAGGTCGTGTACTGCTTGCAGATGTGCTGGTCAGATTTCTAACATCCCCACTGCTCAACACTGGCGTACCTGCATCCATCCTTGGTGACTACAACATTGTGGTGCCCACTTGTCATACCCACCCCCCGCCAGCTTTGGGCATGACCAAGGTACAACCCAAATCATTGTGAGGGCAGCGGGCTATGGTCTCAACGAAAAGAAACAACCTGTTGTCTTCAGGCTCGGCATACTGACCTGACCAGGTATACAAGTATCCCTCAAGAGCTGACAGTAGGTTCACATCCCCGATGCTCGAAAACCCCTGCTCACTTGTCTTATAACCCCCATGTACCCAGCATAGAGAATACATTTAGAAACTTCCTTGTGAAATGAGTAGGTCATTGATCGAAGTTGGATGACTCGCTTCACCGCAGAAAGGATTATTTTCACCTTAAGGTCAACTGTTTGGCCATATTCAACAATATGTACTGACTCATGTCCCTAATCACATGATACTGATTTCTGAAGTAGATGTGTTACCGTTAAGTAACACATCTCCCTTGCACCTTCCCTGCAATTGTTGATGGAAGTTAGTTCCTCAACTCCCGGACGCAAGCAGTTCTTGTATATCTATCGTGAACTACCTTAGCTAGCTATCTTAGTTGAAAATGCATCAGAGCGTATTACAGCTTTTCACCGAGGAGTTGAATTTAAGCGATTGAAGCGAAATATTGACTTTAAACGAAGCCATTCGTCTATGGGCATTCTTAGGCCAACTCGTGTTTCTAGATGCTCGAATCAGGTCTTAAACAATAATGAAAACCAAGTGATATGGGAAAAATTACGGTGTTACCCCATAAGAGTGATATTGATGAAACCAATGGCGAATGATGTAGCTTTTCATACATAGCATAGCGATGCAAGGTATGACTTGTTACCCTTAACAGAACCCCATTATCAAGATCAAACTATATGTATACTAATTGAGCATTGTAAACATTTAGCTCGCTATGTTGCTCCATATTTACTGCACAAGCGACTCCTCTATTAACAATTGATACAATATGTACATAATTGGTCTACAGAATATGCTAAAAAAAATTCTTCTAACACCTACCATTGTATACTGTCAACCATCCATCACGACAAGTCAAAGTCAACTTCAGTATTTCATATATCTCCTTAAGTCCTTATGAAAAAATACCTACCAGTATGCACTTTGAAACATCGGTTGATATTGCTCCATTCCTTGCACATAAACCTCTACGATTTTATATCAAGTGAGGGGACTTTAATCCAGTGTGAGATTTTATATTTGACCAAAATTTGAATAGTTCACTCTGATTTAGCTTCATCTTTGTGATCGAATAGATTTTGAGTATATGATGTATGTATGACGTCCAGAAATTGACTGGTATATTTTTGTGATCGATAAAATAGGTTATCTGGAATCTTACAAGATAATACATACTTGGCAGCCAAAATGGGAGCAAGATTATTTTTAAAAAATTAATGCATGTACAAAAAATATTAATTTTATTCATCACATATGTGATCCTTATGTGTATGTTATGGATAGTTTTGAGATATAAGTCATTAACATCACCAATGAATCTGTAGTTTTTTTCAATTTGTAAGATCTTATACAATTATATTTGTATCTATAAATTTTTTTTAAAAATAAACATAAAATTCTAAAAAATCGTGAATTAAAAATGTAATTTTATACTCTTAATCCAAGTATAATGAAGATAGATTGTCTTACAAATCCGAACGTCTAAAGGGTCCATTAAAAAAATTAGATGAATTTAAAATCAAATTAGTTTGAATTTTTATTTTATTTTCTTGCTTCTGGAATATTAAGAATTAAAAAAATTATAATTTTATAATTTCTTGAATTTCTTAACTAATATTTTTCCAGAATTAAATTTCTTACTGTAATCATATCAAAAGGTTTAGTAAAATAAAAGAGGTGCAGAGACTTCAAGAAAATTGCTTCTGGACCACTTAATAAAGCATATTTTGATGTATATCAATGGTGGATAACACTTGGTTTAGGAAATCAAGAAAATCTGTGGTTTTTGTTTTCATTCTTCAAAGATTGAATCGAATTTATAAATTGTATTACGATAGGTTATGTAACAAATAAATTGGAACAAAAATTACAATCTTAATCGAATCTCTTGGAGATAGAAATTTCATATATAGAATAAAAAATATGAATATATAATTTTATATTAAAAAATATCAAGATTGAATAAATGCAGCAATGATTTTCAAAAAATCAATCTATGATTGATAAAATAATATCCACATCACAACATTCTTTCTAATATATAGTTAGCAGAGTAAAATTAATTGGAGATAAATAATTATATATATATACCTCACTCAAAAAAATATACATAGTGTAACAATATTTGAGTTTTCAATCTACAAGATATTGATAAGTTTCAAAATATATGAGTATCAAAAGTATTTATAGAAGCAATCAAACAAAGTTTCCATCCTATTCAAACGTTTGTAATGTGTAAACCACACATTAAATCATGCATTTGACCAAGTATCTTGATCCAATGCCAACATTGGTTTTTAATTTTCAAATTTTATTCAAACATTTCCTAAAAATTATTTAATCCTCTCTTATTATTCTGTTTAATTAAGGCCATTGATTTTTTTAAAAACATTATTTATCGTCTTGCATTGTGAAAAAGTTTTGAATGTTTTAGAAAAAAAGTTGAACATATAAATCATTAATAAGTTTTGTGGGTTAGAATGAAGTCTTACTTCTTTCATCTTAACATCCATGATTTCTTTAACATTTATTCATTTCGTTTTCTTGCAATTTTGAGTATTAAGATGAAATTATATTCCCAACAGAAGAAACAAATATTTCTTCAAAAAATTACAAGTTTTATATATATAAACAATTTAGATCAAAATTTTTTATTTTTGATATTTTGTAATTTCAATGTCACCATAATATTTAATGTATCTACGTTTTTTCATTTTATTTGATGTTGACGTTTGAAACTGAAAAACAGATTTTTTAAATAAGTTTCCTTCGAATCAACTGATTTCCGTTTACCTTATAAGCCCATTTTTGTAGAATATGATATTAGAATAATGTATGAGTATATGATATTATTAGAATATTGCAAACATGGGATTATCTGGACTCAAGGTATCACCCTTTTTTCTCGATGGAGAAGTGTTGTATGACGTCCTTTCCAATTCGTTGTAGTCCACACCATTCTACCCGAAAGACGAAAGATGCAATTCGAATATCGTGAAGTTGTTCCATTTATCCACATAAATTTATTTGTCAGAAAGAAACTGAAATGTTTTTACGGCTATCGAGATCTACGACCGGAATATTAAAAATATGCGGGTGTTGAGAATTCCAAAGGCGAAACTTGTCGGAAAAGTGCAAATCGAGTCGAGGGAAATTTAATGCCAAGGGTGGACCTGGGCATTTGTTCAGCAATGGCAGATTATAATATGTGTTTTTGAAAGGCTTCCGCCACCAGACCAGCGCAAGCATTAGCAACCAAAGACGGGGAAAATCAAACGTTTGAAATGGGCAGAATTTCTCCGATGCATCCGAGAAAAACGCAGCACCGCAGACGGGAATACTGTAGACATATTCGGAATTTGAACATTTGGCTAGCCCGTTGGCCCGGGGTCCGACCCGACCCGACCCAACCCAACCCAACCCAGCCGACGCAACGCGGGTTAGCGCGGCGGTGAAGGAAGAGGATACGGACGAGGGAGGGAAAGCGCAGGAACTTGCCACCTGCGAGAACGACCTCCGGTCCCTCAGCGCTCCCGCTGGGCACGGGAAAGGTCACTGGGGCTCACTCCTCGTCACCGGCAAATAAAGGGTTCGCCGCTGCTGCAGGTGTCGGAGGCGAGTGCGCATTGGGCGGCCCGGCGCGCGGCCGGGCCCGATATCAGAGGGGGGCGAGCGCGTCTGGCTCTCTTCGCTCTCCTCGCTCTCGCTCGCGCTCTGCGGGTGGCTATGGCGGCCCCCTAGACCGGCTGGCTGGCTGGCTGCTCGCTCGCTCGCTCTGCCTCACTGCCTGCCTTGCCTGCCTGCCTGCCTGCCCGGCCCCACCCTACACACATTCTCTGCTGCCGGGTCCCTCTTCTCTTTCTATCTCCTACGGGCAGTCGAGGCTGCTGCGTGATTTCTAACCCCGCGGCGTTGAGAGGGCGGAGGGCGCAGGGCGCAGGGCCCAGGGGGGGATTTATTTTGTCGCTGGAGCTAGCGTGCCTCGGTTTCGTATGGTTACGGATAGCTTTGTCCGGAGGGTGGAAATAGAGCTGCTGGTGCGGAAGTGGTAGTTCACTAGTACTCCCTCTGCTCACGCACATCGAAGCTGCGAATCGTCGGTCCCTACGAGGTTTGGCCGGGCTGTGAAGAGCGGAATCACAGGCAGACGTTGTTCGCGGGACGGCCCGACGATCTGTTGATCCGGGACGGGGACTGATTGATAGGCAGAGTGGTGTCTGCGTGTGGGCGAGACGCAGCGCGAGTGAGAGAGTGTGATTAGGTTATTGCTGTCAGTTTCGTGAGCTTCTGCTGCCGCCTGCTCTCGACTCGGGGAGCGCAGCGCGGTTCGTTTTCAGCTTGCTTCGCAATCGACGGGTCGATTGTGGGATCTGTTTCTACCTGGCGGCACCGTCCTCTCGGCCTGCAGGCTACCGCTGCTGCATGTTCTCGCAAGAACGGCAGTGAGAAGATCCGCGAGTTCGAGAGATCGTTCGGAGGTGCCCACCCCGTGAGTTTGCCACTCCTGCGGTAGTGTGCGGTGATGCTATGATGTCTTGGTTGAAGGCACACCGCGTCAGAAGCGTGTGACATGTTGTCTACAACGTGTGAAGCAGATCTAGTGTAGAATCCCAGAGGAGCAGGAGCTCCTCCAGCAAGCAGGTCGTAAAGCGCGAGGACATGTACAAAGAGCGGATCTTATCTCTGGCAACAGACGGCAGAGGCAGCGGCAAATCTGAGACGCCTTTGTTTCGAGAGCCTGCTGAGAGCAAGAAGCGCCAGGAGGATGCTCTCGAGAAGTCTTCTCCTTCGACTTCGAAAGGAGGGAATGGCAGAGAAAAGGAGAGGCCCTCCGGTCCCTCAACGTCAACCGCTCGACGAGCAGGCACTGGCAATTCAGACACTCGAACTGCCTTCGAGAAGACCAAGTATCCTGACGATGGTAAGTTCCAGTATCCACGCCTGGAATGCGAAAGCCTTGAGTCTCAATGAGAAGCACATCATCATGCAGGTCGAGTCTGTGCCATCAAATGGCAGGGACTCATTAGTTCGATCCAGGAATATCGCTTCGTGCTCATTCGTTTTTCTTCCCCTCCATGCCAGAGTGAAGTCTAACAGATTGTTGACCTCTGTTGTCTTTCCGCAATCGTTTCTGTGACGTTTACTTGCTATTAAGGCTTACTGTCTGGATTGTTCGGCATGTGCGGAATTTGAATGCCGTGTGCTCTGGATATTGTTGTCTGGTTCCAAGATTTTGTTCAGCTCTGCAACTTCACTCGGGTTGTGGTTGGAGAAGTCATAAAGCTTTTGCTTGGTAGTCTAGCTTGTATTTAGTTACTAGTCACCGACCAGGCCTTCGTTCATCGACTGAAGATTTATACGATTTTCCGCCGAATCTGATGCAATTTTTTGTCTACTTTCTACATGCAGGCTTGCAAAAAACTTGTGGTTGCCTCTGACTATTCACATTCTAGAAATCTGTTGCACGATTGTTCCCTTTCACTCTGAAGGAAATCTAGGGTTGTGACTGTTGGACTTCGGATATATCTATGATTGCTTTTGCTTTGTCCCACGGGAGTGTACCCTAACAAATGGTCGCCACGTTACCGTTCCAGGAGAGGATTCCGATACAGACAGTGAGGAGTCAGACGTGAGTGGATCAGATGGTGAAGATACCTCGTGGATTGCGTGGTTTTGTGGATTGAGGGGGAATGAGTTCTTTTGCGAGGTTGATGACGAGTACATTCAGGACGATTTCAACCTCAGTGGTCTAAGCAGCCAAGTTCCTTATTACGACTACGCTCTCGACCTAATTCTAGATGTGGAGTCGCCAAATGGTAACGTTTTGTGATTGGAAAAACTCAATAGATGAATTAGGCGATGCTGGACAGCGATGCCGGCCTACTTTTTGAACAGAAGTGTCTGCCTTTGATCCTGTCTAGATAGGTTTCTTTGGTTTTGAACACGTTTGCTCCTAACTTTTAGAAAAAGTTTGCTTGTTGTAGCACACCAGCTCATTTCTTTAGCGTATGCTTGTATATATATCACACAAAACGATTATCCTTGACCATGTTTCCCCAAGCTGGGGCCGGCTCCCCACATCAGCTCTCACATACATCATATATTCTTTCGTTTAATGTGTTTTCAACTTTTCACTTCTTTTGTCGCAGATGATATGCTCACAGAGGAGCAAAATGAAATGGTGGAATCTGCCGCTGAGATGTTGTACGGATTGATCCATGTCCGTTATATATTGACAAGCAAAGGAATGAATGCTATGGTTAGTACATCTTGCGAGCTTACTACTGCAGTGGAAAGATTGTCATTGTATGTCTATGTTTGTGTAATTCCTGTCTCTTAGGTCATAAAGGTTGATGTCGGTTGGTATGTTTGTTGTGAGATGTAAGACGTACTCATTGTTGTGGCTCCACTGCTGCAGCTTGAGAAGTGCAAGAATGTCGACTTTGGTAGGTGTCCACGGGTATATTGCTCAGGGCAGCCATGCTTGCCCATTGGTCAGTCAGACATTCCACGAACGAGCACAGTGAAGATCTATTGTCCAAAATGTGAAGACATCTACTACCCAAGGTCCAAGTACCAAGGCAGTATCCTCAATCAAGTTCCAAGTTTGTATTGTATGTCTTGTTTTGTAGTTTTACTTATGGTAGATTTTGTGTGATTTGGCTGCCTTTGCATTCATAGATAAGACATCGGCTGAGATGATGAACCCCTACTGATCTTGCATACGCACTCCTGTTTATCTTGTGAATTTCACTTCATTTTTGAACTTTGCGCTTAACTCACTGCTTCAGATATTGATGGAGCATATTTTGGGACTACATTCCCCCATCTCTTCCTCATGACTTACCCATACATAAAACCACCCAAACCAACCCAGAGTTACATACCGAGGATATTTGGATTCAAGCTCCACAGGAGTGCAAGGTAGTACGTGACGTAGAGTGGCGCGACTTTAGGCAGCTGAAGGCAACAGGCGCATTGCTTTTGCTGCGTTTGCAGCAGGATTGTAGTTAGGGTGAGCCGGAGGCAATTGGTTAGATAAATTGACACCATGGGATCTTATGGATACGGCTGTACTTGGTAATGTTTCGTCCCATCGTCCCCTGGTAGTTCATTTTGAATCAGGAGATTGAGACTTCGTCAATTACATCAAGTGTTTGGCTGTACAGTCGGTAGATCATAGAAGATAGTGAGAGGGAGAAAGCGTGAGAGGGAGGGAGAGGGAATCTTGGACCTTGCCCCGGGAGCTGTTCTTCATTGCTTTGTTGGGGCGGAGGCATTCAATTTGCGATTTTGGGTCCTGTTTATGTTCATTTTTCCCAGCTTGGTTGGTCGCTGAGGCAGGGACTTGAAGTCGTGGTTATTGTCAGTAGTGAACTCAGGTAATTGACATTAGATCCATTGAGCGGAGACCACATTGTTGGGCTTGTGGAATAACTAGTACAGCCCTGACTAAGTAAGGGCTTAGGCATTCCAACTGTTGACATACTATGAGTAGCCCATTCATGTCTTGTGTGAGATCTGATTCTACGTATGGAGCTTGTTAAGCATTCCACTCAGTGTGTAAGAAAAGCAAGACGACTACTGCTTCCTCTGTCTGCCTTCTTGCAACTTCTTATTTCTCTTCTCACACTATTAATTACTTCTAGGTAAGTCAGATTACACCGGAAAAATGGCTGTGTTGTGGATGTTCGTACACTATGAGTAAAATGTTAGGTATACTAAATCATTTTAGTTTGAAAGTCAGAATAAAGGAAAATCTGAGGAATTGTCCATCGTTTCTGCAGAAGTAACTAGTGTTGCGACGGATTGTACAGCAATGAACGCAAACATTGTGAATGTACGTAACGGACGTGAGCATCGGGTAGTTCGTAGCAGAGCGGCTATCGCCTCCTGGATCGCTGTAAACTGTGGGGAATGAACTTTGGTCAGTCCTATCTCTGATAGGACTGACCAAATGATGAAAATTATGCTTCATACAATGTGTGCCTTGTAAAGTCGAAGTAAGCCTTTTTCCCGGTATGGATTCACTCCAGTGACGAGCGTACTGGATTTTCCAAATCAACTGGGAAGGCCGAACTGCATTTGTGGCCACGCCAGACTAGAGATCTATCTTCACATTGTGGAACTTCTCCTTTGAATATCCGCTGTGTTGGACACGAGATGAAACTATAATTTGATTATTATTTCCAGTTCTATTTCCGCCATTCGTTATTTCCACCAGATTCGAGTGATCGTACGCGGTAATTTCCCACACGACGCCGTTTTGTTTACCAGCTGCCGTGCAAACCAAAACAAGCGCTTGGGGTCAACGTATATCTTCAATGTCGGCTAGAGTATCCTGCTCAAAATATGGGACTGTGATTTCGGAGCATGCCAAAAGTCCACGAGCTAGCTCGGTAGTCAGATCGTACAATTAAGCTTGACGTCAGATTTGGTATGTGATGAGTTGGTTTGTCTTTCTAGTTTCCAACCTGAGCCCGTCTTTCATCAACAATGGATCCTTCCTTGTTTGTGGCAGCATATGAGGTCAAATCCTAGAAATCACCTTCATCTTAGATCATCACAGTCAGTGGAGGCAGAGAAAGAGAGTGGGGGATAGAGAGATAGTCGGATTCGTTCAAACGTACAGTTTACTTGTGAACGATTGATGAAACGGTCGGTGGTAACAATCAGCCAACTTCGCCAATGCTACTTTTCCTCGTCTTCATAGCATCTAATTAGCTTTACTTGAGCTGCCAGAATTAAATATCAGAGCATTATTTATCGATTCTCTTCTGTTCACACTTCTCTGAGTGGAGTAAAATGACAGACACAACACAGCGCCTGATTCCAGTAATCTCCAGCTAGAAGTGTACAGTATTATTACAATCGCGCTAAGTTTGTCAGCTTTGAGCCAATGAGAGTTAGAATAATCGAATCAAGATGGTGCAGTTCTAGTCCGTAGTACAGAATGTGCTTGACTGTGAGGTCAAATAGAGTAACTCCACGTCTTGGGTGGACTTTCCATCCAATTCTAAAAAGTGTGTTGCGTTTACATAAACTTTTCAGAAAAGATGCAAGTGGCTAAAGGAGCTACGAAGGTTGTCACCAGAAGAGAGTTTATCCAGACAACCAGTTCGCCTTTCCACCCATCAATCTGCAAGAGGATTGTGGGAACTATGCACAAGTTGTGAAGATGGTATAAACTACTTGAAATGAATGAGATGTGAACTTTCTGGATGTATGTGTTGTCTTCAGTGCATGAATTCACGTCTACTAGGGCCAAACATGACAGTTCATCTTTGTTTATTTCTTACTTAATCTTTATCTGTATCTTTAAATAAAATCTGAGAATAATGTTTGTACTGTGTATAATCTTCAAGTTCAAAATCTTCACTACCATGCGTCACACAACATTACAGAAGGTTTACTGATCAACATCCAAGATAATATTGAAATTACATATATGGCTACAATGGATCCTTAGTATGAACAATATGTCACACTTGAATTTTTACATGAATGAAAATACACACTTTACCTCATGAAAATGGCTAAAGTGACACGGTGGTCTTTCGAATGTTGTTATAATCTGAACTTTGCAGCTGATTTAGGAGGGTATGTTGTTTGCTATTTAAGCGAGTCATGTTTCCCCCAAATCACAGTTTGTTCTCATATCTTGAACTGTCATAAAATACGTTGTACTTAGAAAAGTGTCCTTGGTTGAGCCATACATCTGCATATATTCTTCAATTGCATAATCATCATATTTATTGTAAAGTTACAACTTACTTGTTTCGTAGTATTTTAAAAAATCACGTAGATTTGGTTGCTTATTATAACACGGTTCTTTGCATGTTGATCCTGATGATATTAAACATAATTGCATGAACATATCGAGTAGACCAACCTATGGGATGTAGATTTAAGTTTAAAATTCGTTCAAAAATACGATAAAAGTCATTGGAAAATTGCATTAGAATTGATTAAATTTGATCAACTTGTATGAACATTATCTCATGAAGTTGTATCATTTCAAGTTGAAAGAGTCTTCTTCTTATGATATCATAGTTATGTTGTATTCAAATAATACTAAAACAAAGAACTAAACCTCATAACATAAAGATACTTCAACAGATCAATCTTGTTATATCATAAATGTATGTTTTTCTACAATATTGAAATGACTTTAGGCATAATCAGGTCTAAAGTTCTGCCCTGATATCCATAACTTGGTGTGTTGATAATGGATAATATTTTCTGCATTTAAAAAAAATACAATTTTATCATAAAATAAAAAATCATTGTATACAGGATTAGGAGAATTGATTGAGCTGAATCTTTAATTGATATTACATCCACACTAAGTTTTAACTTTTATCCAAACTTATACATCTAAATGATTGTTTCTGTTTGTATGTTTTCAATTTTCCTAGATAGATTGTTCATAAGTACATGAATATGTAACGAAAGTAAAGATATAAAAAAAAAATTAAGCCCCAAGTCTGAAATAATTTCTCAGCCGTCTATCAGAAAGAAGTAAAAATAGTTATAGGAAGTTTTTACTTATTCTTATAACCAGCATGAAAATAGTTAAAATTGTAGTATTTTCTTTCCAACTTAATGCTTGACTAAGTGTTACCGGATGTTATAAGATTTTGGGCTGGAATACTATCAGCAATCTGATCCTTGAGCATGACTCTAAGGATAGCGGAGCTATGAGGCTAGCTCTCGGGATAAGTTCATTAATGCACTACAGTTTCAATTTCATATAATGCTGCATTGACGTTCCATTGTGAGGTATTGTTGAAAGCTTTGCACGACATTCTGACATCAAACAGGCATTTTGTTTTGATTACATCAAAGGCACAAATTTTTTTGTAGGTCAGAACATACCACACTTCTGCAATGCTGTCATCTTAAGTTAATAGCAATGTGCTGAGTTCCAATATGGGAAATAATGAAAACTTGAGATTTATCTTTACTTGAGCTTAGAATAGAATGAGACAGCAAGTCAGTTTCAAGACAATCCCAGCACGAAGTTTCAAAGTCAGCTTTTTGACTGAGTTGTTGTCCACAACAAAAAGTCGAACAAACGCACCAAAAATTATGCCTTTGTAGGTAAATTGTAATCCTCCATTTTCTAGTTTGATCTTGTCCGTAACTTCCGTAGGAGAGAGCTTTAGATTCAAATTTGAGAAAAGATTAAAAGCTATTTTGAGCTATAAAAGATACGATAACCCTGATGCAAAGAAGATGCTTTTATTGTGGATCTGACACCAGATAATAATTCAGAAAAGATGAAGCAGTATACAAAGAAGGTACTATGCAGCATAAGATACAAAAGAATAGAAAATATTCACCAAGAGAATGCAAGAGTCGAAGAACAAGACCCATAGCCTCCCTTCCTTCCTACATGGGGCTGTTCGTTCGTGTGCAGGAAAAACAGACATCGCCATCGCCATCGCCATAACAATGGCAATGGTTTGGAGGGCCTCGAACTGGTTACCGGATGTCTCGTAGAAATGAGGACGTCTCATCGCACTCCACTGCCATAATGGTATATCGTTATAACATCATGAGGCCTGGTATTTAGTTCCAGAGTTCAAACAAAACGGAAGTCAAAAGCTTTTGACTTCCGTTTTGTTTGGAAGGACGACCATGAGATCAGCACATTACCAGTAAATGGGCAAACTCGAGTACCGTATCTTCGAGGCTCGAGCCCATAAGCCATTGATGATGGAATGTTGTTGTCCGAAACGGATTTCAGAGAATAACACGATCATACAATATCATAGACCGTTCGGTATATGATACGAGAAGATCTGATAATGAAATCGAAGAAAATGAAATCGAAGCCGCTCTTCGGAATGTCGGCCAAATATGGGCAGATACGTCAGCCCTTCGCCCCGCCACTCGGGAGACAACGACAGAGGGAGAGAGAGAGCTCCGTGCTTTTCCTCGTCGCCCAGTACGGTATGCCTTCCAGCGGTACCTCGTACACACGCACTGACGATGTCCCGTGGAGGATCCGAAATATTGGATTTCAGACTCAGCGCATCCGTCGCTGTCGTCTTTCCGAGATCGATAAAAGTTAAAGCTGCCCCGGGATTTCACCCATCGCGCTTTTCCAGATTCCGGGTGCCCCATCGACCCGTGGGTTTCCTCCCGGTACGACTTTTACCATCAAGGAGGAATCCATGGATTTGGGTCCCTCCGGCCCAAAAGCGTCCTTGAGGTCCAGAGTCCATGGTCCAGCGCCGATCCGATCCCGGGCGGGGTCGCCGGGAAAAGGTGCTCGCAACATGAAAACAATAAGCACTGAACGTGTGACCGGCGACCGGCTGCACGGTGGGTGGGCCGGGTGGGGGAGCGAGTTCCGAACCCTATCGCGAATGCAGGAATGGAAAGTGCAGCAGATTGCGAGGCATTCGCTGCAAGTGGGAAAAGCTGATCAACAACTGCTCACTGGATGCCCGAGCCCGCGGGGCTCGAGCCTCGAGCCTCGAACCTCGAAGGCGCTAGCGGCTCAAGGCCAGTGACGGGACCGCCTGCTGGCTGGCTCGCGCCGTCCCATCGGACACTTGCGCGACTTGCGCCTTGGGCCTGCGCTTTTGCCCCGATCGCCCTCCTGTTCTGGCATTGGAGGATCGTGCCGCAGGGAAGGAAGGAAGGAAGGAGGGAGGGGCGGTGGGACGAGCTTTGACTCCTCGTTGTTGCTCCAGCCCTGCTCGGGCGATTGGGCCGCTCGGTTGGTTGGTTTGTTGGTCAGTCCATGGATGCGAGTGACTGATTCATTGGGGCCGGAATCGTTTCGGCGCAGCGACGTTCGCTCTGCCCTCGAGCTTTCGAGCTGAATTATGGTCTAAGCTGGGCAAATTCGAGCTCACGGTGGGCACGGTGGAAGAAGCAGGGGAGTCGGTCGAGCAAGACTGCTGCCTGTACCAAGCTGGGCGCTCTTCACACCTTTCTTGTGTTGGTGCCTGCCCTTTGGCTGAGTTCTGATTTCCTCGGGAGATTCCTGCTTGGCTGGAATGACGAGACGGTGTTCGAGGATTCTTGGTCAAATTCGCACTTTCGTTTGAGTTTTGAACTCCTCGGGACTTCGCATTTGGTGTTTTTCTTAGCATCTGGCCCTAGTTGTGGAAGTTTATGGATAATTACAGGCGTCTGTAAGGGCTCTGTTTTATTTGTATCGAAACCATAGCAAAGCGGTGGTATGTCTATCCTTGAGGCTCACAATGTGCGGATAGTTGGTTCGGGAGATCAGCTCGTGGTACTAGGACATGGTTTCGGAACTGACCAGTCTGTGTGGAAGGAGGTAATTCCTCATCTTCTCGATGACTACCGACTTATTTTGTACGATACCATGGGAGCAGGGACCACGAATCCCGACTATTTTAACTTTCAACGCTATTCTACCCTCCATGGATATGCCGACGATCTTCTTGCACTTTTAGATGAGCTGGAGGTCGAGTGCTGTATCTACATTGGTCACTCCGTCTCCGGTATGATCGGGTGCCTTGCATCTATCGAGAGGCCTTATCTCTTTTCCAAGATAATTATGATTTCAGCCTCTCCCAGGTATGTCACCACTCTGCATGCTCTCAACTTCCCGTCAGTCAGATAGGTTTTTCTTCCGCATGAAGTATTTGGCGTTTATGCCAGTGTTGAATAAGTATGATTGTTTCTTTCTTCTGAGTGGACTTAAAGCAGACCATGCTGAAGTTAGTAAAAGAGGACCTTTACTTCATCGTTTTATAAAATAATCTTCAAATGGAGTAGTGTGGGAAAGATAGGTTATTGAGGTCACATTGTAAGGAGCATTACTTTGTTCCTATCTTCTGAAGCCCCGAATCAGTACTTTAATGTGAAGCTTTGTCCGAATTTAGTGCTAGGCCTTATGTTATTATGCCCTCACCAGCCCCTAATTTCAGTGTAGAACTCATTTGCAACGAAGTGGCAAATTACCATGGCATAAACACGAGGCCAACTTGGCCAGGTGAACCCTGCAGCTTCTCGCCTTCTAAGTGTTCCTTTTAACTTTCACTTATATCTTGCTTCCTGACGATAGTATGTTTGTAGTCAGTCTGTCTCGGACTGTGAGACCTGTAGTGTATTTTACTCGCCCCAGCACTCAGGTCAATGTCAAATGCTGAGGCTTGAGATGGATAGTGTGGCCTGAAGGGCAACTTCTAACCTCTAGTTCAGATACAGTTACTTCTGTTTTAGAAGGGCATGAACTATCCTATTATAGTCCTGTCATCTCTTGCTGTCTCCAGTTTTTATAAGAGCCTTATTTTTCATAAAAGTTCTGTGATAGTTTTGCTCCTACTGTATGACGTATTGCCTAGGTGGTAACCATAATCCAAAGAGTGTAACTGTCATGCAAAGACTACGAGTATCCTACTTCTGAGGCCGGGCAATCCTACCCAGACATTGTTCTTTCTTCATTTATTAGCATCCGTATCCTTCAATAAATGTCTTGCTTGTCTTGCGGGGAGTAGAGCAAATTGAACATAAAGCCATTGTTGCGCATGGCTCGCTCTCTGGAAGAAGTCTATATTCTGGACATGGTCTTTGCATTCTTCAGATCAACTAGATGTTAGTTACTTGTGGGATGCGGTTTTTTTATTAATTGCCTGTGAGCATCCTGGCCATGTCTGGTTTCAAGCATTCTTGGTAGTGTTGTTCCTTTACGCAGATGTCGGCCAAGTATTTCACTAGAACCTATTGACATGTCATCGAGTAGATCAATAGTGGTGATGCTAGAAGGGCAGTGTATACACTCACATGATTCTTTGCAGCGAGCCTTCACCTTCTCGAGTACTTGTCAAGGATGCTGCTTAATTCGCAGGTGCTGTGGTTGCAGATATCTGAATGATGCAAACTATTTTGGTGGGTTTGACCAAGAAGATTTGAATCAGCTCTTTGAGGCAATGCAATCTAACTTCAAGGCTTGGGTTTCTGGATTCGCTCCCCTGGCTGTTGGCGCTGACATAGAGTCCGACGCTGTTCAAGAATTCAGTCGAACCCTTTTCAACATCCGTCCAGATATTGCGTTTAGTGTAGCCAAGACCATATTTCAGAGCGATCTGAGGCGTATTCTTCCACAAGTTATTGTACCTTGCCACATTTTACAAAGTAACAAAGATTTGGCCGTACCCGTCGTTGTTTCAGAATATCTGAAACACTCTTTTGGAGGAAAGACGATTGTAGAGATCTTACCTACTGATGGGCATCTTCCTCAGCTCAGTTCACCAGATGTTGTTGTTCCCGTACTCATGCGACATATCATGGGTTCCATTTAGGTTCGCATCAGGATAGTTGTAGGAAGCTTCTGTGGATAGATATCAGGGCTTGGGTAGGAACTTGTTGGCACGAGCGACTCAGATCTTCTTAGTAGGCTATGAAGTAGTTAGTGATAGTCGTAGTAGATTAATGACTCCAGACAACGTAGATATCGCAGTTACATGGATCTCTAGCTGAATCTCGTAGTTTTTTTAGGTCAACCTTAGAATGTTTAGTCATTCGGATGAAGTAATGTTGAATGTCAAGAGATGTCGATGTGATGTATCGAGATTTGAATCAGTTGCTGACTGCTTCACCTCAAGTAATAAATCGATGGGAACGAGTATTTCGGTTGCGAATGGAACGTTCCCGGAGCAAAGTGAAGGTCGACAAACATATCTATCGGGTACAGAATCTCGCATAGAGCATGGGGATGTCGATGGAGCTTACTGTGCTGGGATTGCTGACAGGACTCGTATTCCTAGTTCCAGCCCCAGCGTTCTTGAAGGAGAGAGAACTGATTCAACCGAGAGATTTGCAAAGCAGGGTCGAGGGGCACAAACTTCAATTTGTGGATCTCCACCCTGTGTTGATGGTGATGGACAAGTGTCAGCTTTGTCCAAACCTGTTACTAGTACAAGTTTTGACGGGGTAAGCAAGAAAACTCCAAACCTGATTAGCCAGGGAAGTGTAGGAGCTGCCGCGACAATCTTGGGCATACCACCAGGAGGATACGCAGGACAGTTCAAAACGCAACTCTCATTTGGAGACAGAGGAGGCAACGAGCATTCTCACCTTCCACATTCAGTTCTACAAGTTATTGCCACGTCACTTCAGTGTGATCTTGTTGTTGCGGCCATTCTACAGAATCCATTGCGCCTTGCAGAAACGGTTCTATGCGTACCTAAGGGTCTAGTAACTGTACCCCTGCGCTTCTCCAAATCAGCTTTGGCAGCATCAACAAGATGCGAGGTGCAGTCCATTTCTTTGATGTTTACCCGAAAAAGAGTTGCTCAATAATTTGAGTCCAAATTCTTTGGTGTGTAATGTTTGCCCTTGCTTCCGCACTGCATATTTGTAGTTTTTAGATTGGAAGTTTGGATGTATTGGATGACGTAGTTTCAAAAAGTAGGGACCAACAAGAGGATACCTTTCAAGTAAAGTCAATTTTCGAACACTTCTACTAGCGGTCCATTTCCGAGTAGAAACCTTGTAACGATTCAGTCCAATTCTGTGAAAGTTTGTATCAAATGGTAATAACATCCTGATATTATTACACAGTCTTGGTTCTTCGTTTCATGGAATGCTGGGTCAAACGGTAAACTCAGTGGATCTTGGAAATGTGCGTTCTCCTCCTCTCTCTTGGGTGTTCTTTCTTCTCTATATCAAGCAAACTGAAAACTCGTTTTGATGGTAAGGTGCTAAGTACAGACTCTTTACTCCTACCAAGTATGCTGACAGCTGTGCTTGGAGCCCGACCCAAGCGCTTTCTTGCTACACAGTTCCACGCTGAAGGGTAAAGTTTGCTTATTTTTGCTCATGACTTCAATTTTTTTTTCAGTTGGGGTGAATATAAGTGTTTGCGTAGCCTCTGCACTGGTTCGGTTGAATTTGGGTTTGCAAATAAGAACGACACAAGAGTGTTAATAGGACAATGCGCGTTGATATGTTTTGACTGATCTTATGGTCTCTTTGATGTCGCAGCTATGAGGGCTTGTGTTACTCATTGTGGCTGGATCCCGACAAAGTTCCAGATGTCGCAGAGAGTGTTATGTCTGAAGCCGGGCAATCGTTGCCTCTCCTACTGGCCAGCAGTGTACGAGCCCTATGTTGTGATCGGATGGGACGACGCTTTGATGTCATCATGAAGAAGATGCCACAAGCAGTAGCATTTGTTGATGAAGGACGAGGTCAGTGCTTAATAAATCCGACTGCAGCAGATCTTTTGTGCCTTCCTGGGCCAGGAGAGTACGACACTAAGAAAGTTGCAAACGGCATGAGACAGCTTGCTGATCGCAGTATCGTTGCGGCTGATGTTTATAGGTACGGAGAGACATCTATTTCGCCACTCCTTTCTAAAAGAGAAGGAGCGTTTGAGTCATGTGTCGCGTGGAATGTTTTTCTTGAGAATGCTACTCTTGATGGGTTTAGGGTGTTCTTATAGTATTTTACGTTCTTGTAATCTACTGTCTGTATTATTCCTCTCCCGTAGACATTGGAAAGTATGTTTATGGCAGAAATAATTGCCCTGCTTATTGCTAAGTTGTTTGTTGCACTTCTAGACGTTTTTCCATTTCTCATGTAACCGTTGGGATTTCTTTGATCTTGTGCAGGTGTATAAACATGTTGGCTGGCAAGCCAAGTCAAACCAGGGACTGGATATGGGAGCTGAAGCATCCACGCTCTGTTCTACGTGTTCGGTCGTACCCAATAAGTAACGTGGCCACCCACGGTCGAGTTTGGCTCTTTGATGATGTCACATCTGAGAAGGATGCACATGACGCAATTGAGGAAGCCAATAAGGCTAAGTCCCAGTTTCTGGCGATGATGAGTCATGAGCTCCGCACTCCAATGACCGGTGGGTTTTTTTTGCTTCTTTTTACGAAATAAATGAGCTCGGAAATTTGCCTGGAGAAATTACGAGAGTAATATGTCAATAGCGCAATCGTAATGTTGCTCCAGATCTTTTCTTCGTGCTCCGTCTTTACATCAAGTTCACTTGACGGTATGTGATAGTCCGTCTTTGTTAGCATTGTTGTTCTCTCCTTGATTTGAACTAAGTTCATCAGCTTCTCATGTTTGTTATATGGATCTTCCTACATCTTTTGGCTGTATCCAGGAGTCCTGGGAATGTTGGATCTTCTTCGCTTGACCTCTTTGACCGAAGAGCAAGCTCGTTTTGTAAGAGTTATGCAAGGATCTGCCGAAGGACTGATGCAAGTACTTAATGAGATTCTTGATTTTTCAAAAATCCAGTCGGGCCACTTGGCTTTGGAAAATGTCAATTTCTATATTGATGAATTGCTGGAGCAGGTAAGCCTCCTTTGCTGTTCAGTTGTATTCGTTTTAATATTTGCAACAGTTGAAGTAGTTTTATATGTGCATGCTGCTTTTGTCTCTCAAATACTCGTGGGAGTGGTTCGCAGGGTATTGTCCTTGATAATCTCTGCATTTCTAGAATCAACACAGCTTGATTTAGTTAGTGATTGTCCACCTTTGCTTTTGCGAACTACAGGTGTCTGCCTTATTCCAAGGTCGGTTGGCGGAGAGAAAATTGGGTTTGTCCATTGAGATGCCTTCAAAGAGTGAGATGCATGTGTACGGGGATCCGAATCGCCTCAGACAGGTATTTATACACCTCAGCGTTTGTTCTTATTGCTTGCTTCCAACTCTGCTAGTTCTTACAGATATCGTAGATTTACCTACTGAAGACTTGGACGTTTGAACCAGTAGATGACCTATGAGGGAATACACAGGTTGACCAGTGCAACAGGTTTTGTTTGGTCGATCTGCAGCTAATTTGATATTGTACAGTATAAACTTCTGAGCGATTTCCACCTTTGATTTCACACAGGTGCTCAGCAACTTAGTGAGTAATGCGATCAAGTTTACTGAAGAAGGTGGGATACGGATCAGATGGAAACGTGTTTCATCATGTGGTGGATTGGTGACATCTGATTGCTTTAATGATCGTGATACCTGTGTGTCTGCGACATCCTTACCTGAGGGTGATGAGAAGAACTCCACACCCTTCACACATAGTAACACAGACTTGACTGCACCACATGTTTCCCTCTATGATGGGGATGTAGGTTCAGAAGAGCAGAAAGTAGCGGCTGAGTTACAGAGACGCTCATCTCTCTTGGATCCTGAAGTAAATCTGGTAGTCACTCACGAGGCTACCGAGCGGAGGAAAGCTGTTGAGGCAAGGATATGGTTTGAAGTTCAAGTGACTGATACTGGAATCGGTTTGACTAGCGAGCAGCAAGGTCGACTGTTCCAGTCATTTTCTCAAGCGGATAGTAGTACTACAAGAAAGTTTGGTGGAACTGGGCTGGGCCTCGCCATCTGTAAAGGGCTTGTAGAGGTCATGGGTGGAAAGATCTGGGTGGAAAGTGAGTCTGGAAAAGGCAGTACATTTGCTTTCCGAGTACCTCTTTCTTCCGCTGTAGGAACCTCCGAAATGGGATTATGCACTGATTCCGAGTTCCGTCAGAGAGCGAAGTCCATGCCACAACCCCGGTCGTTGAAGAGCAAGGGGCAGACTTTGAACGTCCTCGTTGCCGAGGACAACAGGGTAAACCAGCTATTGATACGGAAAATGCTGGTTCACTATGGTCACAAGGTATTAATCTTGCTTGATGTGTACCATGTGCTCTGTATATGTGTTTCTTTGTTTATGGATTTATGTTCTTGGAAAGTAGCTGTTTTACCTGGAATTGTTGCCACGTAAAACTTACTCTTGTTCTTGTTTAGTGAGTTGATATATTATCTATCAGTCTTACTGTCTTTTTTTGTGTTAGAGAAAGTTTCATACTAGAACATCGATGGGTGTTGAGTAGCGCAATACTTATGCTCGTGTCAGTGGACAATATATTTTATTTTCTTTTATAACTCCAAAAGCTGATGTGCGCTTGTTGATGTCCTTTGGAGGACAAACAGCTGTTCAGTCAGCAGCGTTACTTTCAGTTAGTAAACACAATATTAGACAGACAGCTATAATAAATAATCATCAGATGGGTTTTAGTAGCTACTGACCTGTTTGCCCGGGCTGTGAGGTAGAGTGTTATTTTAGAATTATCCTGACGACGCTTTCGACGAAGAACGTGGGTCAACCCTTCAGGATATTTCTTCAATATTAAGCAAGTTCCATCTTACTCATCGCAAGGAATTGTCATTTGATCGCAGGTTGAACTCGTGGTGAACGGACAGTTGGCTGTGGAGGCAATACAGATTGGACAACATGACATGATATTGATGGATTTGCAGATGCCCGTTTTGGATGGTCTGAGTGCGACGAAAGCAATCCGAGCTCTTGGTGGAGAAGTTTCGAAGGTTCCCATTTACGCATTGACGGCGGATGTTTTGACCAAAGGGACAGGATCCTTAGAAGCTATGGGACTAACTGGATACCTCACAAAACCTATCAATTGGGATAAGCTTTCCCAAGTACTGGATGAGGTTGTGCAGAAAAAGGAAGAGCAGCGGTCTTGGACGCCTGTCAATCATTGATTTGTAGGAGAAATAGTTTCGTGGCATCCTCAGATGGATTCTTTTCAACTAAACAGATGGATTGTATAAAATTTTTTTCCTATATTTTTTTTACCTTCATTTGTGAGGTAAATCACCAAGAGTTTCTTGACTGCCGTCAATGGAGTCTACCCCTTGATGGAATTTTTCTTCCTGTTTGTGAATCAGAACCTGATTCGTCAGAAGCAGGTTGCTCTTGTACTTATATCCATTTGGAAATCTAAGATAATACATTCTCGCTCAAGGTTAGTTTCTGTACAAATTCGTTTCCTCCACTGGTGTTGTCACTCTAGTAGGCAAGCCTTAAGTTTTTCATTTATCTTTCATAAGAGTTACAAACCGTCTACGTTCAAGAATCGTTTGTGCAATTCATATTATACTTGAAAAGTGTAGAACCTTTTTCCATTGTAAGGAGCTGTGATTTCACTCTAGAGACTTCACTCTGTTTGGCATGTACTAGATTTCGATGGAATTGTGTATAACTTTTTTTGAGAGGTGTCATATGTGATTACCGCTTTGTCACCACCGAATACAACGTTATGTCTTGTATATTCTTCAGGATGTCAGAAATTTTTGGGGTGCTGTTGTCGTATTACTCATGTGTAGGTGCAGGTTTACTATGGTTGTCAGGTGTCCATCACGGGGATTGCTCTCATGGTGCACAGATTGGAATCATACCCATTATCATGAGAGAAATGTGGTGTTCTTTCCACAACCCCGTGTTCGTATATACATGAACACGAGAACTAGAGGCAGAAGTTATTAGCACGAAGATCCCTGTTTCCGAACTATCAGAGGTGTGAGTATCGTAGTTTATGGGTCGGTCGTCAGATTGATCCTGTTGTGGAAGCCATGGTTCATCTTTGTAGTTTGATATTACAATCTGGAGTAGCATCATCAAATTCTCCCTCGCCGTCTCTGTTAGTTATTACATCTTAGTCTGTCTATCTTGGGGACACTACGAAATTCTCAGGAACTGGCCGTCACTCAGTTCAGCCTTATCTTATGGACTCTAATGATCCCTCCACGTACTGGGTTTTTAAGCCTCCATCTACGTCTCCCTCTCAGCTGTGGAGGTCCACCCGTCGGATGGAGTTCACTACTCTTGTACTTTCTCTACTACATTATTTTGAGCTCACCCCCGTGACGGGTTTAGGTAGTCTCTCTCTTCTTTCGAACGATCTCTTCGCGCGGTTGTGGTTTTCTTTCCTTCTCGCGCAATCGCAACTAGTGCAATGAAATAGATTCCCCTCATACTAGTAGCAAGAGAATTAGATTGGCACAGAACAACTCAACGTCTAAGACAGTTTTGTGGACGCTCATATCGTGACTCGCGAGGCAAGATAGATCAGCAAGAGGAGGATTAGCTTGGCACTTAAATAACTCATTACTTAAATAAATCTTTTGAGGGTTTGTATTTTTCTCGTAAGGCAAGATCCAGAGAGAGGTTGCGGACTTGGATTGGGATTAAAAAAGAAATCTTTGTTGACGGATATAGTCGATGTTACTCGCTCTAGGTAAGAAACATAGGGAAACAAGTTGCCTCCAAATTCCTTTGAATTTGGAGGCAACTTCAAAGGAATTTGGAGTCAACTTGAGCTTCAATGGGAGGCCTTGTGGCAAAACCTTTTTGAAATCAGAGAACGGAAGGTTTCAGGGATTTAGAGACTTGTCTCGCCAAAAGCCTGGATCTTGGCACTCGGCACAAAAATAATCTAACGTAACTTCTCCCAAGTCTTAGAAAAGTAAAATTGCTTGACGTCGAAATTTGAATGTGCTCTATGGCACTTGAGAATTATAATGCAAAGAATTAAGCCTCGTTCTTTTTGAACGTAAAACAGACTCCTGGAAATGTCTTCGAAACATTGTTACAAATTCCTCTGTAGGTATGCATGAGATTATTTGATGGACCCACATGTTTCATTTTAACCGATGTTCCAGTACAATTGGAGGGTTATTTCGGGTGAGGGTTATTTCGGGTAGAAGCTCCCAGCATGTTTTCCGGATGCAGTATTGCCATATCCCGGGAGTAATTCAGCATCATGGTGACCTCACGCTTTATGAGACTAATTCGCAACTTGTCTCGGAAAGAGACGCTGCGAACTAGCCACCAATTACTATCACGGGGGAGAGTATTTTGGCCGCTTTATGAGACTAATTCGCAGCGTGTCTCGGAAAGAGAAAGAGAAAATGTGAAGAGAACTATTATCAAATCTGATTAGATTTGTTTGTTAAGCCTTATAGTGACTACAGTCTAAATTATCAGGTTATAAAAACTGTTATTGGAACATGGCTTACGGTGACATGCATGGTCTTCAAGTGGGGCCCCATAGAGTAAAATCGGAAACTTGGTTGTTACCATCAAGTAAACATCTCCTGAATATGGGACACTAGTCGCCAACAAACTCCGTGGAACTGTGATGGCCGAAGAATAATGTTACTTATGCGCTCTTAAATCCTCAACGCCATGCTTGACATTGCCCTTCTCTCCTCTCCTCTTCGACCACAAACTTCTCATTTACATAAATTAAGGGATCGTGATTCTCACACAATGACTTATGATCGATGTAGTACTGTACCTCTATTCCTTCTCCTTGCTCTCATAGATTCATGAATTCATCTCATTTTGTGCTCCATACTCTATTTCCACACCCTCCATCGAGCCTTCACTTGTAGCATCGTTTGATGCTATAAGTGAAGCTGCTAAAGGAGTATCAAAAATTACCTTTCATCGGCAAGTCGTGGACTTATTATCATATATCGTCTGATATTCTAACCAAACCCTTATGCAATAGGAAGATGCATTTTGTTAAGGTTGGTTTTGAAATCGCATAACATTCCATGCGTATTATTCAAAATGAAACATTAGAAGTAGACCATGTACCGTCATCTATAACTTCTCGGGATGATTTGATGATTTCGGAAAATAGAAAAAATAGAAAAACATAAAATCATCCCGAGAAGTTGATTTGATGTTTTTCTATTTTTCCAAAAACATCATGTAATAACCCACTAAAGGCTAAAACTGCAATATAGTGGTAGAAAGGTCGAATCCACAGGGATAGAGGAACACATAGGGTACAAAGTGTCACATTTAACAGACTATTGAGGAGTTTGAATTCTCAGGCGACTGTCACTCCCAGAAATACTGCAAGTGTTCACCCGGAGCTCACTCGGAGGTCGCACAGTGCAGCGTAACACACACACACACACACCCGAAACTACAGAAACACAACCCAGAGATCGGTTAGGACCTCTACTCAAGATTTCAGGGGGAAAGTCCCTCGTGAGTACACTCAGCGAAGTTGCGGGTAGTGACTCCCAACTCCGGCTTTTACAACCCTTCCACTAGCTTTCTGCTAGCGTAGGGAACCCGGGTTGGACTTCCTACTTCGGATCGAAGTCACTCACACGCGGTGCAACACTCTCAACTCACAAAACGCGCAAAGAACACAGGTCCGCACGGAGGGACTCACTGAGAAACGATCCAGTAACACACCATAACAGTCTATTGAAGAGTTTGAATTCTTAGGCACTTGTCATTCCCAGAAATACTACAGGGGTTACCCTGAAGGCACCTGCTGCAGCGTAACCTGAATTTACAACCAAGGCTTACACGAAGTAGCAAAACTTCACTTTGGCATTCAGGGGAAAAATCCCGAAGGAGTACAATCAGGAACAAACACTCGAAGGTGTAGGGGAGAAACTATTCAAGTATCTAACTAGTCACTGGCTCTGAGCATCGGCAATCACCCTCAGGTGTAGATCCGAACTACTCAAGTCTCTAACCAATGTACTAGCTCTGAACATTCGGCCGAAGGCCTTCAGCTACGCAATGCGGACCGCCAAGGTGTAGCTCCTCGTGCGTGGTGACAGAACTAAGGACACAAACACGCAGAGAAAATGAGTTCCTGATCTGCACTTCCGAAACTGGGAAAACTCCCAAGGCAAGACGCATTGAACTACTTTATACCTTCTAAGTCCTAACTAGCACTACACTACACTATGCTACACGCCTGCACGGAACCACGCTACACTACACTCCGCAGAACCTGTGCTTTGCCTCCTGCGCGACGGGCTGCTGCGCACTAACTCCCTACCCTGCCAGTCCTCAGCTCGACTGCGCAGTCCCAAACGCCGCAACACCGCGGAAACCTCAGTCTCAAGGGTGGCCATGGTGTCCCGTGACTTCGACAGAAAAGAGTCTAACTTCTTCGCCACCCGCCGCCGACTCCGACTGTCACCTGTCAACAACCCCGCTGCACGAAGCTCTAACTCGCGCAGTGTGAGTTTCTCATGCGCAGCCACTTCCCAGTGGGCGTAGCCCCTGAGACAGTGGGTGACTCGCCTCGCCATCTCTTCCTTCGTGCGATTTGCCGCCCGCCGGCGATCGTCTTCAACTACAACCAACTGCAATTCGGCCTCCGCACGCTGTGTTCTCAATTCCCTGCACTCAGACTACAGTCTGCGGATTAATTCCTCATCCGCCTGTCGTGCGAGCTGACACTGCTCTGCAACCTCCGGGCTGACTCTCACTTAGATTTACCTCAGATGGCTTTTCGGTAGCTCATCATGATTCTAGAAGACTAGGATTCCGCATCATACTCATAAGCTAAACACCATCTCACACAATCTCTCAAGGTATCACTCCAACTCATACACTCATCGACACTCCAAGGTACTGAAAATTCGTCACTCTTTCATATATGAAACAAGTCTCTACATATGAACTCTCCAAACTTGCTTGAGAGGCTCTTCCCTACCTCTCTATATATACTACTTGAGAATTTACCATAGTAACAAATGGTAATTTCTATCTAACTTACTTTTACAAAGATAAACCATAGTAAGGTTGACTAGTTATCAATATGTGGCAACATATCATTGGCCCCCTAAACCTTCTAGATGTTTACTAATCCCTAGATTGAGGTGGCGACATGCCATTTGTGACTTTTTCACTTCTAGAACTTCCACTTTCCACTAAGTCAACTTTAGACTTAGTCTCACCAATGGAATACTCCTTACTTTAGTCAAACCAATCAAAACTAAACATGAAGTTCAAAAGTCTTTTCTCTTGGAATCTAGACTTTTGTACAAGACAAAATAGAAGTGCTCACTCAAATCTTCTAGAACCTCTCTAGTTATTTCGCCAAGTATAGACATTATAGCTAAACTAGCTAGACTTAGTCATAACTAGCTAGATTTAGTCATAACTATCCTAACCATGATTAACTCATTGGCTAATTCTAGTTTTATTTCACACATGCAATATCTGGTCTTACAGCTCTAACAACCGTGTCTGTCGCACGAGCTCCTCTGACAAAATTCGATTCTCAGCCTGCTCAGAAACCAGCGCCTCTGTGAGCTTCGCCTTCTCCTTGGCGAACTCTTCCACCTTCTCGTCCTTCGTCTTGTCGAAGT